GATAGTTTTCAATAGTAATGTGACCTGTGACTACTGTAACATTAAGAGATTTGGTTGGCTGCTCACCTTGAATTGACATGTGACTATTATCAAAGAGAACTCAAAGTGAATTGTAGGGCTGCAACGAATACACTATGAGGCGAATACGATATGTATCACTAATATAGGGTACCGAATATGAATATTTATTCATGAATACAGCAACAGGACATCATGTTGAGTTATTATTCATTATATTTACTGAAACAATAACAAAATAAATGATCTGACATGGTTTGACCGTGTTGACAGTGTTAATGATTATTATCCTATTGTACATTTATATACTGCACTTATCCAGGTACTGCTAAAATGCAACAATGACCAGTGACCTAATTACTGTCAAAATAAATATTTAACAGTCGTGTCTTTGAAGAAATCTATGTATGCATATAATTAGTTCTTATGGGTATTTTAAGTAAAAAACACTTTTTTTATGTTTTTTCGTAATAGTTGATTTTTGTGACCAGGAATAACAAAGTCAATTCATGAAGAGATAGGGTTCAATTCATCGAATACATGAGTGAATCATAACAGCCCTAGTGAATTGATATGTGTTTCTCTGGATATCCATCTGTTTAGGTGATTACCTAACTGTTTAGCTTATTATCTATCATTGGAAATAGATTTAAATCCATGAAATACTTAACAAGTTTCTTAAGCTATAATAAAACAAGCATGAAATACTTATACCCCTGCCATTATGACATGTCCGGTTTTGTGCAAGGCAAGAAATATTGTACGGTTTTCAAGATCTGCTCCGGAAAAAAGCACTACCACCATTTTCAGTCAAGGTCGTTGCCATGGAAACTCAAAAAATATATTTTTCAAAAATCGATAACTATCAAAAGGCACCAGTTCACCACTAGACCTATCTTTGCGCCAAGTTTGGTTAAGACATCTCTCATGGTTTTTGAGTTCTGCTCCGGAAACGAATTGTGACGGACAGACGAATGGACAGAAGGACTGACGGACAGCACCCATTCCTATATCCACCTTCCACTTCATGGCGGGGGATAATAACCAAACCTGTCCCTGGGCAGGAAGGTCAACATGAGATTAACTGTACATGATAACTTACTTACTGCCCCTCAAACATTACAAACATTCTCTTGAACAAACAGTGGACAACTGTCCATGCTTCTTAGACTTGATCCTAACATCCTAATGTTCTGTGACTATTTGTTTAACATATCCACAAACACATATATCCACAACACCAAGCCAATGTTCCCCTTCCTGTGATACTGATGGAAGTGATAATAGTTGCCCCACACCATGCTCACTCCTCACTCCTGTGAGTCTGTGTGCGTTTATGTGCGTCTGTGTGAATGTGTATGCCTGTGTGTGTGTGTGTGGCTCTGTGTGGCTCTGTGTGTGAGTCTGTGTGTGAGTCTGTGTGCGTTTATGTGCGTCTGTGTGAATGTGTATGCCTGTGTGTGTGTGTGTGGCTCTGTGTGGCTCTGTGTGTGTGAACTTACATACTAATGTCTTGTGTGTGTCTGTGTGTGTGTCTGTATGTGAGTCTGTATGTGTTTATGTGCGTCTGTGTGAATGTGTATGCCTGTGTGTGTGTGTGTGTGTGTGTGTGGCTCTGTGTGGCTCTGTGTGTGTGAACTTACATACTAATGTCTTGTGTGTGTCGTCCTCGTGATGCTTCCACCCTCTCACGCAGTTCCTCGATGCTCACCAGGCCTGGAAAATATGGTACACAACAGAGATCACTTTTTTCGCCTCTCTCTCACATTGATAAGCAAACGTTACATCTCATTACATCTACATCATCAACTTTCAAATAGCAGTGTTTGAAGTCTTGAATCAAAGTTACTCTTGAATCAAATTATGACATAAAATCGTTCTCATTATCATGATTATTGTGTGGTCATCTACATTACCATCTTCATGCTGTCTGAACGATTATGTTTCAGGGTGATCATTAATGTTTGGTTTGTCTGGTTATTAAATATGTCTTTATAAATTATTGATTAGTTTTAGGAACGTCAAACTTGTTCATATTCTAATGGGAGAGGTAACTTTGAACATTAGACTGACAAGATATATTCATGGATCATATTGCTCTCATATTCAGGTTGATAAATTGACTCACCCCCATTTCTGTGACTTGTGGCCAAACAGACTTCAACAATCTGCACCCCCAGTTCGTAGTAGAAATCTCCGACGCCCAGCATCTCTGCCCAGAAACCCTTGCTGGCTGTAATGTGACAAACATGTCAGATATACCCACAATAGTCCCACACAGACTGACACTATACATCATGACATACACAAACCCTTGCTGGCTGTAATGTGACAAACATGTCAGGTATACCCACAATAGCCCCACACAGACTGACACTATACATCATGATACACAAACCCTTGCTGGCTGTAATGTGACAAACATGTCAGATATACCCACAATAGTCCCACACAGACTGACACTATACATCATGACATACACAAACCCTTGCTGGCTGTAATGTGACAAACATGTCAGGTATACCCACAATAGCCCCACACAGACTGACACTATACAGCATGATATACAAACCCTTGCTGGCTGTAATGTGACAAACATGTCAGATATACTCACAATAGCCCCACACAGACTGACACTATACATCATGATACACAAACCCTTGCTGGCTGTAATGTGACAAACATGTCAGATATACACACAATAGCCCCACACAGACTGACACTATACATCATGACATACACAAACCCTTGCTGACTGTAATGTGACAAACATGTCAGATATACCCACAATAGCCCCACACAGACTGACACTATACATCATGATATACAAACCCTTGCTGGCTGTAATGTGACAAACATGTCAGATATACCCACAATAGCCCCACACAGACTGACACTATACATCATGACATACACAAACCCTTGCTGGCTGTAATGTGACAAACATGTCAGATATACCCACAATAGCCCCACACAGACTGACACTATACATCATGACATACACAAACCCTTGCTGACTGTAATGTGACAAACATGTCAGGTATACTCACAATAGCCCCACACAGACTGACACGAAACATCATGACATACACAAACCCTTGCTGGCTGTAATGTGACAAACATGTCAGATATACCCACAATAGCCCCACACAGACTGACACTATACATCATGATACACAAACCCTTGCTGACTGTAATGTGACAAACATGTCAGATATACCCACAATAGCCCCACACAGACTGACACTATACATCATGACATACACAAACCCTTGCTGACTGTAATGTGACAAACATGTCAGATATACTCACAATAGCCCCACACAGACTGACACTATACATCATGACATACACAAACCCTTGCTGGCTGTAATGTGACAAACATGTCAGATATACACACAATAGCCCCACACAGACTGACACTATACATCATGACATACACAAACCCTTGCTGGCTGTAATGTGACAAACATGTCAAATATACTCACAATAGCCCCACACAGACTGACACTATACATCATGATACACAAACCCTTGCTGACTGTAATGTGACAAACATGTCAGATATACACACAATAGCCCCACACAGACTGACACTATACATCATGATACACAAACCCTTGCTGACTGTAATGTGACAAACATGTCAAATATACTCACAATAGCCCCACACAGACTGACACTATACATCATGATACACAAACCCTTGCTGACTGTAATGTGACAAACAAGTCAGATATACACACAATAGCCCCACACAGACTGACACTATACATCATGATATACACAAACCCTTGCTGGCTGTAATATGACAAACATGTCAGATATACTCACAATAGCCCCCACACAGACTGACACTATACATCATGACATACACAAACCCTTGCTGGATGTAATGTGACAAACAAGTCAGATATACTCACAATAGCCCCACACAGACTGACACTATACATCATGACATACACAAACCCTTGCTGGCTGTAATGTGACAAACATGTCAGATATACACACAATAGTCCCACACAGACTGACACTATACATCATGATACACAAACCCTTGCTGGCTGTAATGTGACAAACATGTCAAATATACTCACAATAGCCCCACACAGACTGACACTATACATCATGATACACAAAACCTTGCTGACTGTAATGTGAGAAACAAGTCAGATATGGGTCATTCTCAAAAAATGTCAGAATTTCAACTAAGCAAAAACATCAAAATTGTCTTTTGTAAAATTCCTTTTTTATTGACTCAGTACACAAAGTAACTTCTGAATAATAATGTTAAGCAAAATGACACCTTAATAATCAATGATGTCCTAATTATGATAATTAATTAACACTGAATAGGAAAAATATGTCTGTCCTGTTACCATGTTTACAATTATATTTTCTGTAACAATATTTTTCAAAGTTCAACACAAATCATGTCAGTTCTTGTTTTTAAATGTATTGTTTAATATTTCAATGAGTACAATTAAAAAGAGGTTGGATACATTATTTTATGGACAGATTTGTCCAGCATTTGAGTCAAATGAAAACATTTGAATTCATTCAAATCCAATATGACAAACATACCCTGATTATTGCATCATATATTTGACACATATGCTTCATTAGATGATATATGTTTGAATTCAAATATGTTCTTCTGAAAAATAAAAATAAATAATCAGTATATTTCTATTTTAAGTGCTGGTAACAGGACAGACAACGTAGTAACAGGACGGACAATTGAAAGTAACAGGACGGACAATCGGCTTTGATTGCAGATAACTATAACGTTCAGGAGTTTCAAGATTTTGAAATATCTGACAAATACGAAAAAAGTATGTGCAATTGATTACACCTGAACATATAAGGTGTAATTAACTGAATATTCTTGTATGTAATCTGAACTATAGAAACCGGTCGGTAACAGGACGGACAATTGAAAGTAACAGGACGGACAAACTTATGTTTGCAGTCAACTATCCTGTTCAGAAGTTCAAAGTTTTGAACTCTGACAAATAAGAAAATGTTTTGCTTAATTAACAGTATCTGATCATATGGATGTTATTAACTGAATGTTCTTCTATGTAATGTGAATGTAGGATAATGGTAGGTAACAGCACAGACGGAAGTAACGCCAAAGACAATAACTTTTGCATTTTGGGTTAATCCCTAGAATTACAAAGAATTTAAATTGATTTAAACTTACACTAAATAGTCATGTGACAGTTTTTGTCATGAAGCAACAACACAATAACCAACTTTATCCATGTCAAACATCAACATAATCTTGTCAGAAGATTTCCTGTTGAAGCTGTATTCTTTTGCAATTGTATTCGCAAATACTCAAATAAACGGTCTGAAAAGGTGAATTATAGTTTCCTTAAAAGTACAATTCACTTGTATCTATGATTATTTGATTAGTGCCAGAATTAAATGGTGTCTTTCATTCACCCATAAACCACAGGTTGTTTATTGTTTCTGTTTTATCATATCTGTAATAGCTTCCCAGTAAATGTTTTCAACACTGAAGTGGGAAGCAGTGCCTTCAATCTTCTTTCGTTCAGGAATGATGGTAATAATGTCCTCGTGCTTGTACCAGCATTTGTCAAGCAGGAGTCTTGGCCAAAAGAATCATTTTTGATCCCATTTTTTGCCAGGCTTGTGCATGCATTCCACATATATATCATAGGTAGAAGCATCTATGTATCCAGGATATGGCAAACCATCATATAACACAACCACACATTTTCCAAGACACTCTTCTGTATCATCTGGAACGGATAGTAAAATGTCACTCTCACTTTTCTCAACCTCACCCTTCTCCACCACACCACCTGTCCTCTCCACCTTTTTCTCAACCTCACCCTTCTCCACCACACCACCTGTCCTCTCCACCTTTTTCTCAACCTCACCCTTCTCCACCACACCACCTGTCCTCTCCACCTTTTTCTCAACCTCACCCTTCTCCACCACACCACCTGTCCTCTCCACCTTTTTCTCAACCTCACCCTTCTCCACCACACCACCTGTCCTCTCCACCTTTTTCTCAACCTCACCCTTCTCCACCACACCACCTGTCCTCTCCACACTTTTCTCAACCTCACCCTTCTTCACCACACCACCTGTCCTCTCCACACTTTTCTCAACCTCACCCTTCTCCACCACACCATCTGTCCTCTCCACACTTTTCTCAACCTCACCCTTCTCCACCACACCATCTGTCCTCTCAACACTTTTCACAACCTCACCCTTTTCCACCACACCATCTGTCCTCTCCACACTTTTCTCAACCTCACCCTTCTCCACCACACCTTTCACAACCTCACCCTTCTCCACCACACCATCTGTCCTCTCCACACTTTTCACAACCTCACCCTTTTCCACCACACCATCTGTCCTCTCAACACTTTTCACAACCTCACCCTTTTCCACCACACCACCTGTCTTCTCCACCCTTCTGTTGTTTTTGCATCAGATAACTATCTTCAACAAAGTAGTCTATTTTTTTATGTATATATGTTTTCTTCTAAACTGTGATAAATTTGAAAACATATCTCTTAATGTTTCATAAAATTAGAATATTTAGTGATTGGATAAGAAACGTTAGATAAAGATGACCAAATGTCTGTGCTGTTACTTTTAAGTCTTAACCAATTTTTTTTTATTTAGCTTGGAAGATTTGTTCAGCCATAGCGTCTTGAATGCCTGTGTTATTACAAAAGAATTATTTGTGTTAATATGGTAATTATATTATTGATTGGTTATACTAGGAAAGACAGTTTAAGGTGATGATAAGTCTGTGCTGTTACCACGGAATGTCTGTGCTGTTACTTTTTCATCAGATAACTATCTTCAACAAAGTAGTCTATTTTTTATGTATATGTTTTCTTCTAAACTGTGATAAATTTGAAAACATATGTCTTAATGTTTTATAAAATTTGAATATTGAGTGATTGGACAAGAATAGTTAGATAAAGCTGACCAAATGTCTGTGCTGTTACCAATATTTGTCTCTGCTGTTACTTTTAAGTCTTGAGCAACTTGTTTTTATTCAGCTTGGAAGATTTGTACAACTTTAGCCTCTTGAATGTCTGTGTTATTTCAAAAGGAATTATTTGAGTTATTATGGTAATTATGTTATTGATTGGTTAAACAAGGAAAGACAGTTTAAGATGATGATAAGTCTGTGCTGTTACCACGGAATGTCTGTCCTGTTACATGTTTGAAGGTAACAGCACAGACAGTAACAGCATAGACAAATTGACATTAATTACAGTTTTTTTTAATGAGACCTCCCTTGAAATGTTGAGACCACATGACATTGTGAACAATTCATATTTTCTAATATTCTGAAAAAATGGTTTTAGAAAAAAATATTTGTTTTGGCAAAAATGAGCAGTAACAGCACAGACATAAGAAAAGAGTATTCATGATAGGAATAAACTTCCCTGTCAAGCAGAATTATCCAAGGTCTTCTCTCACTTGAAGGACACTGCTGCCATGATAGTACAGGAAGTAAGCTGTATTTCTGTTATTTTGAATTATTGGAATCTTGAAGGATTATTTATTTTTCAGTTTTGATCCATCCTGGTAACAGGACAGACACTTTTTTATGTACAAGTGTTTCTTACCAAAAACCAATATAAATAAAAGAGTGTATCTTCAAAAGATAAGTTTATATCATGAGTTAGAAAGGTAATGTACAATATATAAACATTATTTACATAATATTTTTTATTTTTAGCAACATTAAACAATGTTGATGTGCAAACATAGGGTTACGGACACACCCTTCAGCTCAATTGAACCGCAATTAAGCAGTTTTAATTAAAATAAAATACCTAATAAGAAATACTGAAACTTAACTTTCAGACACCATGGTATGTTCTACGAAAAACACTTGTGTTTAAACATATCTAAAATAAATATTTTAATTGTTATTCAACACGGACTAAAAAACTCACTTTTTTTGAGAATGACCCATATACACACAATAGTCCCACACAGACTGACACTATACATCATGATACACAAACCCTTGCTGGCTGTAATATGACAAACATGTCAGATATACTCACAATAGCCCCCACACAGGCTGACACTATACATCATGACATACACAAACCCTTGCTGGATGTAATGTGACAAACAAGTCAGATATACTTACAATAGCCTCACACAGACTGACACTATACATCATGACATACACAAACCCTTGCTGGCTGTAATGTGACAAACATGTCAGATATACACACAATAGCCCCACACAGACTGACACTATACATCATGACATACACAAACCCTTGCTGGCTGTAATGTGACAAACATGTCAGGTATACTCACAATAGCCCCACACAGACTGACACTCTACATCATGACATACACAAACCCTTGCTGGCTGTAATGTGACAAACATGTCAGATATACACACAATAGCCCCACACAGACTGACACTATACATCATGATACACAAACCCTTGCTGGCTGTAATGTGACAAACATGTCAGATATACACACAATAGCCCCACACAGACTGACACGAAACATCATGACATACACAAACCCTTGCTGGCTGTAATGTGACAAACATGTCAGATATACACACAATAGCCCCACACAGACTGACACTATACATCATGATATACAAACCCTTGCTGGCTGTAATGTGACAAACATGTCAGATATACCCACAATAGCCCCACACAGACTGACACGAAACATCATGACATACACAAACCCTTGCTGACTGTAATGTGACAAACATGTCAGATATACACACAATAGCCCCCCACAGACTGACACTATACATCATGATATACACAAAACCCTTGCTGGCTGTAATGTGACAAACATGTCAGATATACTCACAATAGCCCTACACAGACTGACACTCTACATCATGACATACACAAACCCTTGCTGGCTGTAATGTGACAAACATGTCAGATATACTCACAATTGTCCCACACAGACTGACACTATACATCATGACATACACAAACCCTTGCTGGATGTAATGTGACAAACATGTCAGATATACTCACAATAGCCCTACACAGACAGACACTATACATCATGATATACACAAACCCTTGCTGGCTGTAATGTGACAAACATGTCAAATATACTCACAATAGCCCCACACAGACTGACACTATACATCATGATACACAAACCCTTGCTGACTGTAATGTGAGAAACAAGTCAGATATACACACAATAGCCCCACACAGACTGACACTATACATCATGATATACACAAACCCTTGCTGGCTGTAATATGACAAACATGCCAGATATACTCACAATAGCCCCACACAGACTGACACTATACATCATGACATACACAAACCCTTGCTGGATGTAATGTGACAAACAAGTCAGATATACTTACAATAGCCTCACACAGACTGACACTATACATCATGACATACACAAACCCTTGCTGGCTGTAATGTGACAAACATGTCAGATATACACACAATAGCCCCACACAGACTGACACTATACATCATGACATACACAAACCCTTGCTGGCTGTAATGTGACAAACATGTCAGGTATACTCACAATAGCCCCACACAGACTGACACTCTACATCATGACATACACAAACCCTTGCTGGCTGTAATGTGACAAACATGTCAGATATACACACAATAGCCCCACACAGACTGACACTATACATCATGACATACACAAACCCTTGCTGGCTGTAATGTGACAAACATGTCAGATATACCCACAATAGCCCCACACAGACCGACACTATACATCATGACATACACAAACCCTTGCTGGCTGTAATGTGACAAACATGTCAGATATACCCACAATAGTCCCACACAGACTGACACTATACATCATGATATACACAAACCCTTGCTGGCTGTAATGTGACAAACATGTCAGATATACTCACAATTGTCCCACACAGACTGACACTATACATCATGACATACACAAACCCTTGCTGACGGTAATGTGACAAACATGTCAGATATACCCACAATAGCCCCACACAGACTGACACTATACATCATGATATACACAAAACCCTTGCTGGCTGTAATGTGACAAACATGTCAGATATACTCACAATAGCCCTACACAGACTGACACTATACATCATGATATACACAAACCCTTGCTGACGGTAATCTAACAAACATGTCAGATATACCCACAATAGCCCCACACAGACTGACACTATACATCATGACATACACAAACCCTTGCTGACTGTAATGTGACAAACATGTCAGATATACTCACTATAGCCCCACACAGACTGACACTATACATCATGACATACACAAACCCTTGCTGACTGTAATGTGACAAACATGTCAGATATACTCACAAAAGTCCCACACAGACTGACACTATAGATCATGACATACACAAACCCTTGCTGGCTGTAATGTGACAAACATGTCAGGTATACTCACAATAGCCCCACACAGACTGACACTATACATCATGACATACACAAACCCTTGCCGGCTGTAATGTGACAAACATGTCAGATATACACACAATAGCCCCACACAGACTGACACTATACATCATGACATACACAAACCCTTGCTGGCTGTAATGTGACAAACATGTCAGATATACACACAATAGCCCCACACAGACTGACACTATACATCATGATATACAAACCCTTGCTGGCTGTAATGTGACAAACATGTCAGATATACCCACAATAGCCCCACACAGACTGACACGAAACATCATGACATACACAAACCCTTGCTGACTGTAATGTGACAAACATGTCAGATATACCCACAATAGCCCCCCACAGACTGACACTATACATCATGATATACACAAAACCCTTGCTGGCTGTAATGTGACAAACATGTCAGATATACTCACAATAGCCCTACACAGACTGACACTCTACATCATGACATACACAAACCCTTGCTGGCTGTAATGTGACAAACATGTCAGATATACCCACAATAGACCCACACAGACTGACACTATACATCATGATATACAAACCCTTGCTGGCTGTAATGTGACAAACATGTCAGATATACTCACAATTGTCCCACACAGACTGACACTATACATCATGACATACACAAACCCTTGCTGACGGTAATGTGACAAACATGTCAAATATACCCAAAATAGCCCCACACAGACTGACACTATACATCATGACATACACAAACCCTTGCTGGCTGTAATGTGACAAACATGTCAGATATACACACAATAGCCCCACACAGACTGACACTATACATCATGATATACAAACCCTTGCTGGCTGTAATGTGACAAACATGTCAGATATACTCACAATAGCCCCACACAGACTGACACTATACATCATGACATACACAAACCCTTGCTGGCTGTAATGTGACACACATGTCAGATATACACACAATAGCTCCACACAGACTGACACTATACATCATGACATACACAAACCCTTGCTGGCTGTAATGTGACACACATGTCAGATATACACACAATAGCCTGGAACTGTAGACGGAACTCACTCACACAGCAAGCTAGTACTCACATGCCAGAGGGTCAACACCTATAGAGGCACACATCTCCTGGAACTGTAGACGGAACTCACTCACTCACTCACACAGCAAGCTAGTACTCACATGCCAGAGGGTCAACACCTATAGAGGCACACATCTCCTGGAACTGTAGACGGAACTCACTCACTCACTCACTCACACAGCAAGCTAGTACTCACATGCCAGAGGGTCAACACCTATAGAGGCACACATCTCCTGGAACTGTAGACGGAACTCACTCACACAGCAAGCTAGTACTCACATGCCAGAGGGTCAACACCTATAGAGGCACACATCTCCTGGAACTGTAGACGGAACTCAGGGTCCTTCTTGATGTCACCTTTGTGCTTCGTGGCAAAGTCCTCCAGATTCTTCTTGAACATTTCCATTTGACTTGCCATCTGACATATACGGGGTATGTGAGGACATATTTCAATTTCTTTAAGCTTTACTATATTTATCATAAACTTCATTTGAAACATTCAGGGTTTTAGTGAAAGTTTCATGTCACCAAGAAAGTTGTTTCATGAATATTTACTTCAGACATTCATAATTCAGGTCATCATCATGTTGCAGGGTCTAGTCATCATATTGCAGGGCCAACTCATCATGTTGCAGGGCCTACTGATCATGTTGCAAGGTCTAGTCATCATGTTGCAGGGCCTACTCATCATGTTGCAAGGTCTAGTCATCATGTTGCAGGGTCTACTCATGTTGCAGGGTCTACTCATCATGTTGCAGGGTCTACTCATCATGTTGCAGGGCCTACTCATCATGTTGCAGGGCCTACTCATCATGTTGCAGGGCCTACTCATCATGTTGCAGGGCCTACTCATCATGTTGCAGGGTCTACTCATCATGTTGCAAGGTCTAGTCATCATGTTGCAGGGTCTACTCATCATGTTGCAGGGCCTACTCATCATGTTGCAGGGCCTACTCATCATGTTGCAGGGCCTACTCATCATGTTGCAGGGCCTACTCATCATGTTGCAAGGTCTAGTCATCATGTTGAACGGCCTACACATCATGTTGCAGGGCCTACTCATCATGTTGCAAGGTCTAGTCATCATGTTGCAGGGTCTACTCATGTTGCAGGGTCTTCTCACCATGTTGCAGGGTCTAGTCATCATGTTGCAGGGTCTACTCATCATGTTGCAGGGTCTAGTCATCATGTTGCAGGGTCTAGTCATCATGTTGCAGGGCCTACTCATCATGTTGCAGGGCCTACTCATCATGTTGCAAGGTCTAGTCATCATGTTGCAGGGTCTTATCATGTTGCAGGGTCTACTCATCATGTTGCAGGGTCTAGTCATCATGTTGCAGGGTCTAGTCATTATGTGGCAAGGTCTAGTCATCATGTTGCAGGGTCTAGTCATCATGTTGCAGGGCCTAGTCATCATGTTGCAGGGCCTAGTCATCATGTTGCAGGGTCTAGTCATTATGTGGCAGGGTCTAGTCATCATGTTGCAGGGTCTACTCATCATGTTGCAGGGTCTAGTCATCATGTTGCAGGGGCTACTCATCATGTTGCAGGGTCTAGTCATCATGTTGCAGGGCCTAGTCATCATGTTGCAAGGCCAACTCATCATGTTGCAGGGCCTACTCATCATGTTGCAGGGTCTAGTCATCATGCTGCAGGGTCTAGTCATTATGTGGCAGGGTCTACTCATCATGTTGCAGGGTCTAGTCATCATGCTGCAGGGTCTAGTCATTATGTTGCAGGGTCTAGTCATCATGTTGCAGGGTCTAGTCATCATGTTGCAGGGCCTAGTCATCATGTTGCAGGGCCTAGTCATCATGTTGCAGGGTCTAGTCATTATGTGGCAGGGTCTAGTCATCATGTTGCAGGGTCTACTCATCATGTTGCAGGGCCTAGTCATCATGTTGCAAGGCCAACTCATCATGTTGCAGGGCCTACTCATCATGTTGCAGGGTCTAGTCATCATGTTGCAGGGTCTAGTCATTATGTGGCAAGGTCTAGTCATCATGTTGCAGGGTCTAGTCATCATGTTGCAGGGCCTAGTCATCATGTTGCAGGGCCTAGTCATCATGTTGCAGGGTCTAGTCATTATGTGGCAGGGTCTAGTCATCATGTTGCAGGGTCTACTCATCATGTTGCAGGGCCTAGTCATCATGTTGCAAGGCCAACTCATCATGTTGCAGGGCCTACTCATCATGTTGCAGGGTCTAGTCATCATGCTGCAGGGTCTAGTCATCATGCTGCAGGGTCTAGTCATTATGTTGCAGGGTCTAGTCATCATGCTGCAGGGTCTAGTCATCATGTTGCAGGGCCTAGTCATCATGCTGCAGGGTCTAGTCATTATGTTGCAGGGTCTAGTCATCATGCTGCAGGGTCTAGTCATCATGCTGCAGGGTCTAGTCATTATGTTGCAGGGTCTAGTCATCATGCTGCAGGGTCTAGTCATCATGCTGCAGGGTCTAGTCATTATGTTGCAGGGTCTAGTCATCATGCTGCAGGGTCTAGTCATTATGTGGCAGGGTCTACTCATCGCGCTTCTTGTTCTCTTGCATACTTATCGTACAAATAGTGAACATAAGTACTGTCACAGTTTCACAATATTAAATCCTTGAATAAATAAATGTTCAACAAGTCTGTTGCCATGTGACATAAGTGATTGAGTGTGTGAGTTTGGTTTTACGCCGCTTTTAGCAATATTCCAGCAATATCACAGTGGGGGACACCAGAAATGGGCTTCACACATTGTACCCATGTCGGGAATTGAACCCGGGTCTTCGGCGTGACGAGCGAACGCTTTAACCACTAGGCTACCCGACCGCCCCCCATGTGACATGAACATGGACATAACCATGATAACTCGTGCTGACATGTGCTATTAGCAGACTGCTGTCTATAATGGTCTAACATCGTCTAAAACTAGACTACCGGTATATACATAAAACAATCACCCACAAAGAAACTGGTTTAGACAGATTCTGCTGAAGGACAACATACCTGCACAACCTGGTCCTCAGCCAGCACGGACCCCTTGTCCTTGTACCTCGCCTGGGGAAAATAAGGGAACCCGTGTCATCACATTGTCTGTGGTTATCATGGCCACAGCCTATCTATCCCACTTGTACATCACATTGTCTGTGGTTATCATGGCCTTAACCTATCTATCCTACTTATACATCACATTGTCTGTGGTTATCATGGCCATAACCTATCTATCCCACTTATACATCACATTGTCTGTGGTTATCATGGCCTTAACCTATCTATCCTACTTATACATCACATTGTCTGTGGTTATCATGGCCATAACCTATCTATCCCACTTATACATGACATTGTCTGTGGTTACCATGGCCAAAACCTATCTATCCCACTTATACATCACATTGTCTGTGGTTACCATGGCCATAACCTATCTATCCTACTTATACATCACATTGTCTGTGGTTATCATGGCCTTAACCTATCTATCCCACTTATACATCACATTGTCTGTGGTTACCATGGCCTTAACCTATCTATCCCACTTATACATGACATTGTCTGTGGTTACCATGGCCATAACCTATCTATCCTACTTATACATCACATTGTCTGTGGTTATCATGGCCTTAACCTATCTATCCCACTTATACATCACATTGTCTGTGGTTACCATGGCCATAACCTATCTATCCCACTTATACATCACATTGTCTGAGGTTACCATGGCCTTAACCTATCTATCCCACTTATACATCACATTGTCTGTGGTTATCATGGCCATAACCTATCTATCCCACTTATACATGACATTGTCTGTGGTTACCATGGCCAAAACCTATCTATCCCACTTATACATCACATTGTCTGTGGTTATCATGGCCATAACCTATCTATCCTACTTATACATCACATTGTCTGTGGTTATCATGGCCTTAACCCATCTATCCCACTTATACATCACATTGTCTGTGGTTACCATGGCCTTAACCTATCTATCCCACTTATACATGACATTGTCTGTGGTTACCATGGCCATAACCTATCTATCCTACTTATACATCACATTGTCTGTGGTTATCATGGCCTTAACCTATCTATCCCACTTATACATCACATTGTCTGTGGTTACCATGGCCATAACCTATCTATCCCACTTATACATCACATTGTCTGTGGTTACCATGGCCTTAACCTATCTATCCCACTTATACATCACATTGTCTGTAGTTATCATGGCCATAACCTATCTATCCTACTTATACATCACATTGTCTGTAGTTATCATGGCCATAACCTATCTATCCCACTTATACATGACACAGGGGACAAGTCTCAGGGTTTTACACACAAATGTAAAGAATGAACACAGAAAACAAATATACCATATTCTTTGTACCTATAGTGCATCAAGAGCAGTTATGGGTGTCTGTTATTTCATTCATCAATTGTGACCACTGTCCACATGATCATTGATTCATTCCAGGCTCTAAAGTAATTATCTACACATACAGTACACCACAAAATGTCCTTACTTTGCAGGACCCTCATATTGCCTGCAAGGACCCTTAACATTAATTACTGGGGGTCCTCTGGATGGACCCCTACTTTTGTTTGTCATGGTAAAACTCTGTAATCTAGTGACAACTCACAGTCCCAGCAAGTTGGATTTACATAATTCAAAATTAGTCTGCTATTTTCAAGCATAAATGTTAAATTAATCAGTAAATGATTATTCTAACATATTTACAGAGAGACAATGACTCAGTTTCTCAAATGTCCGTAGTAAGAATGTCTAGATCTACACAGGAAATGGTCACCAGTCAGTGAAGGGTATTTCCTCCCTACAAAGTTCATAAACAACTTACTGTTTTGAAAAAACCCCAGCATTAGCATGACGAATATTACATACAATCACTATGAAGGATGATACAATATCTGACACATAACTATGATAACACTGAGTAGTGAGTTTTAGGGATTAAATTCTGATTGACTTAGTTGGAATGAACATTTACCACACATCAGGGTCATGTGGGAGGCCAGCCCAAAGTAATGCAGGCTAGACGTTAGATGTTTAGCATGATGTACTTGGTGTACCCACGGACACAGGTATGGCGTGAACAAACAAAGTTTCACAGCAAATCTCACATTCTACCCATATATCATCACTTCAGGGCATGTCTAGAGAATGCAGCTCTGCAAATGAGGTGACTCAGATATAACACTATTTCAGGTACATGACCCAGTGCTGCTGATGACAGCCTTATGTAGAACATTGTAGAAAGAAAGCCAAAAGTTTAGAACATTAAATCACTACTTAAGTGAAAGATATATGTGAACACAGGTACAGTGATGATGCGTGGCGACATATTAATGATGATAATCAGGTTGAGGCTGGGAAACCCACGACTACAAACAAGCGCCTAAACATGCCTCTGCATATCCTGGCAGCTAAGGGATGCAATTGTGCAAATTCGCATAAAGAAGTAGTGCAATTTACCAGATGCACTTTTTCAGGTTTCAGTTAGATTCGTGTGGAGGATTGAACTGACGTTACCAGCTTTAAGCTATGCTTGGCAAATGAGTTCATCAAAATATCTAACACTTTACCAAGGGACCATAGGCGCCATCACAAATAGGGCCTAAGGACAGTAGAGGGGAAAGGGGGTGTTTGATTGGCCAGTGGTGCCTAACCCTAAGGATCTGTGTTTGATTGGACAGTGGTGCCCAACCCTAAGGATCTGTGTTTGATTGGCAAGTGGTGCCCAACACTAAGGATCTGTGTTTGATTGGCAAGTGGTGGCCAACATGAAGGGTCTGTGTTTGATTGGCAAGTGGTGCCCAACACTAAGGATCTGTGTTTGATTGGCAAGTGGTGCCCAACACTAAGGATCTGTGTTTGATTGGCAAGTGGTGGCCAACATGAAGGGTCTGTGTTTGATTGGCAAGTGGTGCCCAACACTAAGGATCTGTGTTTGATTGGCAAGTGGTGCCCAACACTAAGGATCTGTGTTTGATCAGAAAGGGGTAGCTAACCCTAACATAAAGGGGTGCTTGATATAAAAGGGGATCCAAGGGCTAAGGATAGAGTTGAGGGTAACCTACCCTCATCCTAACACAATTATACAGGTCTAAGGATCGATGAGGAACATAAGATCTGCTAAGCGAGAGCCACAGTCAGCAGCCGGAGCTAACTAGTGCTATATAGGAGGTAGGGAAAACCTAATTCATTAAACGTTATTGACTCTTTCAATTTGCCTCGACTTGATATTTCATGTTAAGAAATAGCTCTGATGTGTTATTTCACAAGAGTCGTGTTGTATTGAATTTGCAAATAAATTACATTTTTTCTTTTTCTTCTTGTGAATCATTATTACTCGTTACCCCATATTTTATATCAAAACCGGGAATACTATGTTGTAAATTTGGGGGAAACAATATCAACCAAAGCCTGCGATGGTTCGTCTGACAAGTTGCTACCAAGTTTATATGTTACAATAATATGAGACGCAGTCCTAGTTTATACATTCAAAAACATAAACTTGACAATGATATGGTTAAAATCACTATGACATTGACAAGTAAGAATTGAATCTTTATGAATTATGAACTAATGTACACGATAATTATCCGTGATTGTGAAATTGGTGGAAAAAATTAACTGTGATCTGTGAAAAGGTGGTCTGAATTACATGTGAACAATTATTGTGCAGCAGCATTCCCTGCCCTCTATATAAGCTGCGCCTGGTCAACTGCATTGCTGCCACATAGACAATTTGATAAATGAGTGAACTTAGGGTTCTGAAAAATGTTCCATGTTGAACAACACTCATCAGAAAAATGTAAATACTGAGGCCTATCACAGTGTGTGATGTGACATCTAAACCTCGAAATATACTGTAGTGTACACATGGATTACCTCTGCGAGGTTTTTGTTTTTGATGGCAGCTATTCCGGGTCCCCGCCGACGCATGGTTACAGTGGAAATTGGTTTCTAATGACGGAAAAATTGTTCTGTCAGTGCTGCAGCCTGCAGTCAATCTTTGCTACCGGAAAAAGGAAGCAACTGATTTATCAAAGGTAGACAACTCTGGTTCGTCGCAGATTCCGCTGTGGTCATGTACTTGCGGCTTCGATTTTAGTCGTTCGAATCATCATATCAGAGATACATTTCATATCCATATTGTAAACAAATAGGCCTATTTGCAAATAGACTGTCCCTGTTCTGGTTGAATATACTTCACGCCTTTCATTTGGAATCGCTCTATTTTGGGGCGTATGGCAATGAAATTAATAAACTTGAAGGACTTGTTTGTACATCAGACTTGATAGTATTATACAAGTAGTTTCAGTTTTGTTCATAAACGACCACTTCTGCACTCAAAAACCTTTTTTTTAATTGCCCTACACAATCCACTAAATTATATATAACTGTTTAATTGTCATTCTAGAAGTTGGTTGTTGTCACTCCATCTTGATAACGGTGTAATAATCTACATTGAAACGTCGCTATATGTAATAAACCAGAAGTTATTATTTGAATAAATCAACTGGAAAACATTATACATTTTATAAAATTATCTCATATAAGGCTACATATAACTGGACATAAATGGTGGCGTAAAATCTTAGCGGCCAAACAAAGAGCCCGAGAGATTCCAGGTTAAAATTGGTCCCAAGGAAGCCACGCTTGTCGTTAGAGGAGACTGAAATGTGTTGAATCGTTACGCGACATCTTTGGACGTTGCTCATAATGTCAACCACCTGTTTGTTTTACAGGCAATCCGTGAAGATCCGGGTTACAATAGGTCTTCAGAAACCCATGCTTGCCGTAAAAGGCGACTATGCTTGTCGTAAGAGGCGACTAACGGGATCGGGTGGTCAGGCTCGCTGACTGGGTTTGATGCATTGTCGTATTCAAATTGTGTGGATCGATGCTCATGATGTCAATCACTAGACTGTCGGATCCAGACTCGATTATATACAGACCGCCGTCATTTAGCTGGAATATTGCTGAGTGCGCCGTAAAACAACAAATAAACCCACAAATCACACACATGATCTGAATACATCCGTCAACATAGATTCGGAGCGATTGTCCTACATTTCTTTGTGACGTCATATCATGTTATGTTTTCTCTGGACGATGACGTCACGAAAACGGCATACATCATCCAAGATGGATGCCAATCATAAGGGGCCACCGATCCTAGCCCGTACAAAGGCGCTGACTGACAGGGAGGTTTACTGGATGAGCGATGTCTTCTACAGATCGGCCTTTTATGTGGTTCTCCTGTCATGGGTTATATGTTTATCGGGGCCGCTTTTTATGTTTGGGTAAGTTCACGTAGCGTGAAATTAAATTTCGTGTTTTCCTATTTTTGTAGTAAATTATCACAAGCATATATAATATATAATCATGCAGATTAGTCAAAATATTGTCGTGTTAGTTTACCCGTTAAGAGTCTCTTACAGCTCTATCTGCGGTAACCGTATCTTTATGCTGCTCCCTGGAAACTATTTCGATATTGACTTGTCGCTATACACGTTTATAAAGCAAACTCGTTTATAGGGAGCAGCACAACAATACGGTTACAGTACATCTCAAGTTAACATTGAAAATTTGTCAAGATGTATATTCCCTTTCTTTTCTGTTCAGCATTCCTAAATTGTTCATGACAAGTACAGATACTCAGACCAGCGAGCACGCTGAACATACTGGGGACGATGGAAACAGGAAAGAATGGATTTATCGTCACGTGCGTATTTTCAGGGTGTCTCTCCTGGTATAGTTGAAGAGGTCACCTCTGGATGTTGATATAGTCAAAGTGAAATAAACGACAATAAGGTATTAAAAGAGACCGGTTTTGGTCCCACATAGGATATAAATTATAATATAAACATTTCAACAATTGCATGTTTGGGCCTATGACAAATGCACAGATCTAGGCTAAAATGTGTCAGAAAGGCTTATGTTAGAGGTTTCAAATAAACTCCTTATCCTTCCTCGTCTTACTGACATTTCCTGATTATTAGCTAGATTTCAATGTACAGGATACGGTCACCGTTCTTGTTAGAATACGACATTTCACAAGACGGGTTAATTGAACTATAAAGTGCTAGGTAGTATACATATATCATATAGACTCCCTCAGTCTCCCTGCTCAAACAGTATACCTGCATTTCTTTATCCCAGCTACGGAAGATGGAGATGAGAGATACCGCATCAGCTTTCATTATGGTGGCCTGTGTGTTGAGAATGTGGCCCCGTACCTTCTGTCGTATACAGCTCTACTCATATACAGGTATTGTCTTAATGGCAATATTACTAATGCATGACTGTATATTACATGCAAAATATTGGCCCGTGAAGATCCGGGGTAGAATAGGTCTTCAGCAACCCATGCTTGCCGTAAAAGGCGACTATGCTTGTCGTAAAAGGCGACTAACGGGATCGGGTGGTCAGGCTCGCTGACTGGGTTGATGCATTGTCGTATTCCAATTGCGTGGATCGATGCTCATGTTATCAATCACTGGATTGTCTGGTCCAGACTCGATTGCTTACATACCGCCGTCATATGGTTGGAATATTGCTGAGTGCGGCGTTAAACAACAAACAAACAAAAAATATTAATAACAGAGTGTAGTTGTAAGGATATGACTGTTTGAAATAATAACGCAGTTTCTGAGATATATTCTTTCAAATATTGATGTTGTTTCGCGCCATGAATGCACATTTAAACAGCGTGTTATGGTCGTTGTTGTCATATTGGAGATGCGGTGAGCATTGGGCACTGTATACACTAACATTTAGTCCCAGGAATAGAGTTCTCTTATTTAAAAATACATATCTACAAAATAAAATAATATAATCCAAATGGAGCACAGAATAATCCTAGAATTGCCAAATCATTCTAGACTTGAAATATTGCTGAGTGAGGCGTCAAACAACAAACAAACAAACAAATTACATGCAAAATAGCATGGACACGGTGACGTCACTTCCGAAACGAAGATATGTAGGCCAGTGGGACAAGGGTATTTATCACAACAGAATGGAATATACCCTGGGAATACTCTGGGCATTTTAGGATGCGACCAACAAGGCGATCATAGCGCTGAGACGATCGGAACTCATATACTTTAATCTAAAGGTCACCACGCATATCGCAAAGATCGCGGGCCAAACTCTGGTACAAGAGATTCTCCGAGCTCTTACTGTGGAGGGTACATAATCAGTAAACCCCGGCTCTTTAACGTTCTGTATTTGCAGGCCGGGTAATAAGAAGACGTAACCGTGTCGCTCAAACCACAGGGCCCTACTTGAAGAAATTTCGCCAGGGTTTGCGCCACCTGGCGGATGTTACGGAAATTCTTCGTCTGGAGAAGGAGAAGCTCACTCGCAGGAGGAAGAAGGTCTACACGAAGTACAGCATTGCAGGTGTGGTTAAATACCTTTATCAGGAAAGTTCACACATATAAAGATTGTGTACATAATGTAGAGACGTTCGTATGAAGTCATCGAGTCGATGTTACCAACTACTAAATGGACTACTAATGCCATAACTATTGCTACTACTACTGCTGTTTTTCAGATTAAAATGTACACTGTAAGTTGTATGAATATTTCTTCTACAACTATTTCCTTTTCTACTACTACTACTACTACTACTACTACTACTACTACTACCACCACCACAGCTACAGTAACTATTGTTGCTGTCATCTATGTTCATGCTGGTGTGCGGATGATGTTGTTAACGAAAGCAACTTTGTATATTGACATACTCTGATGCTACTCCAACTGCTGCAGCTGCTGGTTGCTCCTTTTCAGTCACAAGAAACCCAAGCATGTTAAAATCTGTTGCATGTCTCCTTCGTGTTTTCAGAGGAGACAATACTTCGTGATATACGCAGTAAGGAAAGGCTTATCGGGTTCCTGAGGACGCAGATGCAATGCCAGACACTTGGGTTGAAGGAAGTAACGTCATCGGTGAAAGTCTCGCGAGACCGTCTCGAAGTACAACGAGACGAAAACAAGTCTATTATAGACCAATTAGAATACTTTGCCCAAATAGCACAGTTTCGTTAGTAGTGACAAGTTTTATTCTGTATTGGACAAGTATTGGGCTGAATGCGGCCCTGCAAACACAGGATATTGTGTGTGAGGAAGGGTTCCATACCGTGTCAAACAGTAAACAAGGCATAAGCATAAAAACACGACACAGGAAAGATTGGATACTTTATATCATAAAATTGAAACCATTTTGGACAGTTGTAAGATGATATATCCGGCAAATAAATAGGGATCGGGCTTGTTAACGTGCATCATTTTGTCTTTGATAACCAAAATATACGTATACTTACGTAAACAGATATATAAGTACAAATTTGGTCATATCAAGGCAGTATCCAATCTTGTGACTTGAAAAGAAGGTGAATTGGTGCACACATTCTCATAGGCTTGTTTACACGTTGTGATATAAACGAAGAAAGGCTTTGCAAAGTGAAACAATCGAAATAGGAAGCTTCCTATTATTTTTTTTCTACGAGGCCAATCATACCGGGGTTCATAGAAATCGTATGTGCCCAAGAGCATATATTCTCTCACGAAGCAGTCCTCGAACTGCGATTGGCTAATCACTTCTGCCAACTATGTCGTTGTGCATGTAAATATAGATAAGCCAAGAAATCCGTAATAAATACAACCTTATATTCGCGTCATGTTATACGATGTTTACGACACGTGCCAAAATTCTGGTCTCGTTTTGGAAATACCAGAGTTTAGGCATTCGTTGCTAAACATTGTATGACATGGACACGGACAATGGTAAGGTGAAATTGGGTTTAACGTCGCGTCCAAGATTTTTGCACTTATATAGCGACGTGCATGCACGTGTGTGTGTGTGGCTGCTTATACTAGTCCGGACTGATGCCGATTTATAGTGCTAGCACACTGAGATACCATGCCGCAGTTTAACATGAATACCCCACTCAGCCCAGTCCTTGTTTTAGCCCCTTAATGCCGAGCGCCAGACAGGGTAACAACAAGTACCCTCTTTTAACGTCTTTTGGTATGAGGCGGCCGGGGATCGAACCCCGGACCTTCCGCTCTGCGGGCGGACGCTCTACCCCTTGACCACTGAGGCGGTCTGACACGGACAATGTCCTCTATATATTAGTCCTGCCGAGCTTACTTTTCTATGCATTAATCAACAGGGACATGTCTCTACCTACAATATGTTTTCAAGCAGGAAGATACTTTTGATTGATAATAAATCCGTATAAAATATTGACTGACCACACACCGTCAAACCGCACCCTAAACACACCGCACCCTGCATGTGTCTGTAATATATGTACCATGTAAAGAAAATCACTTTCAACCTAGGTGTGTCTTTTTGTCTCAACCCCTGTACACACATTTATACCTGAACACGACACCCTATTCTAACAATGTAGAAAGTCTATTTAGATGTTATGATAAACATGCAGTTCATTGTTATACATGAAAGTGCCCTATCTAATGAAAGCCGGTGGCATATGGGCTCGATAATGAGCCGATACCGGTCACGTTGTAATAACAACGTGTTTCAGTTGTCGATAAACGAGTATTTTACTTACAAATAATCCTATTTCTATTCTTGTTGATAGTGTTGATATTAAAAGCAAATCGCTGTTGTCATTGTTTTGATTATGTTCAGGAAACTGGTGTCAGGGTGCCAGCTGTAGTCCCGCTAAGTGTGTCCTCTCGATGGAAGTACTTCAATACGTGCATATAATAAAGTGTGTTATTTATCGATTAAATTAATTTTGCCCGGCCTAAGATGAGGAATAAACGTACTTACTGTTGTACTCAGTGGTGGAAGGTGATTCTACGCAGTGAGTGAGAGAGGTTTTCCACTGCTTTCAACGGTAGCTCAGTAGGGGACCATGGTAGGACGCCCAATGCAGGTCCTAGACGTTTAACATTGTAAAGAAACCAACGAGCATGGTCATGGTTCTGAACCTTGGATTCGAACCCTTAGCGCCTAATGGATGAAACTCTTCACAGTGAATGTCAAGGTCATTGTGTTCCCTGGTTACAGGGGAGACGGATCCTATGAGATCCTATGACTATATCAGTATGTCCAACAGCATGCTCAGTATTTTAGTTTGTTGGGGTTTCTGGCCAGCTGTGTGGAGAGTAAAAGGAAAGCTTTGACCTTTACCGCGTGCTAACCTGATTTGCTTATTGTCCCCCGCCGCGCGAAAGCGCGAAGCGGGGGATATAGTATTCACGACCGTCCGTCCGTACGTCCGTACGTCCGTCCGTACGTCCCACCTGTTTGTTGCCGCGATATCTCAAGAACTAAACACTGGATTGTCTTCATATTTGGAACTATGGTGTATATACAGACTCCGCAGACACCAGTCGGTTTTGGTGACCTTGACCCCATTTTCAAGGTCACAGCAGGCATATCTGCTTTTGGAGTTGTAAAACGGTGTTGCCGCGATATCTCAAGAACTAATCTCTGGATTGTCTTCCTATTTGGTACTAGGGTGTATATACGGACTCCGCAGACACCAGTCGGTTTTGGTGACCTTGAGCCCATTTTCAAGGTCACAGCAGGTAAATCTGCTTTTGGAGTTGGAAAACGGTGTTGCCGCGATATCTCAAGAACTAATCTCTGGATTGTCTTCCTATTTGGTACTAGGGTGTATATACGGACTCCGCAGACACCAGTCGGTTTTGGTGACCTTGACCCCATTTTCAAGGTCACAGCAGGCATATCTGCTTTTGGAGTTGGAAAACGGTGTTGCCGCGATATCTCAAGAACTAATCTCTGGATTGTCTTCCTATTTGGTACTAGGGTGTATATACGGACTCCGCAGACACCAGTCGGTTTTGGTGACCTTGAGCCCATTTTCAAGGTCACAGCAGGTAAATCTGCTTTTGGAGTTGGAAAACGGTGTTGCCGCGATATCTCAAGAACTAATCGCAGGATTGTCTTAATATTTGGAACTATGGTGTATATACAGACACCGCAGACACCAGTCGGTTTTGGTGACCTTGACCCTATTTTCAAGGTCACAGCAGGCAAATCTGCTTTTGGAGTTAGAAAACGGTGTTGCCGCGATATCTCAAGAACTAATCGCTGGATTGTCTTCATATTTGGTATTTTGGTGTATATACAGGCGGGGGACATTTCGTCACTTCTGTGACAAATACTTGTTGTTATTTCAAACAGGCATATCCTTACAATAAATACAAAATGTACGGCTATTTTCATGTTTGACTACACTGTTATTAATATATTTTGTTTGTTTGTTGTTGAACGGCGCACTTCGCAATATTCCAGCTATATGACAGCAGTCTGTAAATAATCGAGTCTGGACAAGACAATCCAGTTATTGACATCATGAGCATCTACGCAACTGGGATACGATGACATGCATCAACCAAGTCAGTGAACCTGACCAACAGATCCTCTCGCCTCTCACGACAAGCATAATCTCTACCCGAAGCAACACTGTTGTACGACTTCCAAATTACAACTTCATTATGGTTGCCACTGAATGACCACAGAAATTCTTACATAAACAAATGTGGTTTTAAATAGGGATGTCAAAATGTGATGACCTGATTTAACGGCTATGGCCATTGGTCAAAATATCGAAATAAACAATATGTATCCCACTTGTTTCAACAAATAAAAACAATTAAAGTACGATACAAAAAATGCCACAACTGACATATGCTGTTGTCTACAGAGAATAAATAACGCGCTGCAACGAAGACTAATGTCATCCTTTTTTTAAAAATATGTTTCTCATCTCCAAACCTCGGCCAGCTAGAGAGCGGATGGGCGTAGAAAATACATAAAAAAACGAACATTGTCCTCACTAATTCTCACTTATTTTATGATTTTTAAATATTTTTTAGAACACTTGGTAACAGTCTTTAAATTAATTTATGACGCAGATCGAGTCGCTTTGTTTCTGAAACAAATTATGAATAAATATAGCTTACGCGGCATTTCAGGAGTGTGCAATGGAAAGAGTTTTTTTCACATCACATAGATAAGAAAATGTATTATCATTTCATGTCGGAATGAAAATTCATGGCGGGCGGAAGATGGGAAACACAGAAAAAAATCAGGACAGCCTTGGACTGATACCTGGCAGAATGTCCTACGATATCACGTGATTGCCGGCCGTTTTGTTCAACTTCCGATATCTGCGAGACTGTGTACATAATGTCATATTTGCTGATTTGTTGTCGCCCATAGGACAAAATACAAGAACTGTGGACTCGGCGTATTAACTATGTCACATACTGTTAAATACTATTTGTTGTAGAATTGAAGATATAGAAATTTTTCGAGGTGTGTTATAGTCAATGTCTACTTCAGTCAGACTCAATCACTTTCCAAAATGACTAACTTTAGACATTAACTATAACATATATTCATTAACTTGGACTAAATTTTACCAAAGGTCATGAAAATATAATTTAACAATCAGTGACGATCAAGCCAGCACGTCATGCACACTGTAATTGAGAAACACTAGCTGTGACGTAATGTACACTATCGAATGTGTATGCACACCCCGCGGCATATGTTAGCGAACACATATGATCAATCTGATCATCTGAGCCCGCGGGAGTACACCCTTGAAACAATATGTTTATTACACGCTTATCAGTCCCGGCACATCTGTGGAATACAATATACGCCGGTCTCACTTTCAGCCCGAATAACCAACGCACTGAAATTATTTTGTACCTGGTTCTGAAACCAGTTTAGCGGTTTCGAAAACCAACATTTACCGATTAGTTTGAATCATCAAAAATGACAAATATGTAGAAGTGTCAGATACGTTGTTTCAAAGACATAAAAAAGAAAAAAACAACATATGAACTGACAGTTTATTCTCATGAAGAGAGTTAAGAAGTTTCGATTCTCTACAGTGCCTAATCTGTCTCCAAGACCCTAGACAGAAAATAAATTAAAAGGTAGTCCAACTCAAGTCTAGAATGATTTGGCAATTCTAGGATTATTCTGTGCTCCATTTGGATTACATTATTTTATTTTGTAGATATGTATTTTTAAATAAGATAACTCTATTTCTGGGACAACAAGTTAGTGTATACAGTGCCCAATGCTCACCGCATCTTAATTTGACAACAACGGCCATAACACGCTGTTTTAAAAGTGCATTCATGCCGCGAAACAACATAAATATTTGAAAGAATATATCTCAGAAACTGCGTTATTATTTCAAACAGTCATATCCTTACAACTACACTTTTATTAATATTTTTTGTTTTTTTTTGTTTAACGCCACACTCAGCAATATTCCAGATCTTATGACGGCAGTCTGTAAATAATCGAGTCTGGACCAGACAACCCAGTGATTCACATCATGAGCATCGATCCACGCAATTGGCATCCACCAAGGCAGCGAGCCTGACCACCCGATCCCGTTAGTCGCCTTTTACGACAAGCATGGGTTGCTGAAGACCAATTCTAACCGGAGTCTTCACAGGATGTCATTAATATGTGTGTATGTCATTTATCGTGCTCCGACATCATGGATTGTTGCTCATTCCATCAACCACTAGTCTGCCAAGTCTAGACACGAATACAGCTAGCTAGGACGTCGTGATCAAGCCGGAATATCGTTGACCTCAGCGTAAAACAACTGTCACTCACTCAATAGTTGGTGAAAATGGAATTACAATTTACACAAGGGGAGGTAAGCAGTAGAGGTGGGAATGCAAGTTAACAAGACAACGCTTCCATCTGATTGGCTCTACCCTTAGGCAAAGTTCAGCAAAGTATATACCTCTGACGGACACACGCCACAGGGACAAGTCTGTCTGATGACAGCGACGATGGGTGAACAGAAAGTAACACGATAGCAGGTAAGGGTTGTTTTCTTAAAGTTGTTGATATATTTGGAAATGTATACTTACAGGTTTCGGCAGTTTGGTCTTAACTATAACTATCCCCCACTTTCATGAATATACTAACGGTGTGTTGAGATATGTGCGACGATGTTGATTGTGACGTAGCGCGTCTTTTGGGTGACGTAGACGTCCTTTGGGTGTACTACTTACTTGGAGGAATTAGCGGTAGTAGAGGTCACGACTGGCTATCACCTTGAAGAACAGAGTAGGCTGTTTGAAGAACAGAGAAGGCTGCTGGGTTGATGGCGTTTATTCAGTGGAAGTACTAGTAGAGTGAAAAGTACATTTAATTATAATAACAAGATAATATAATACGTGTGCAACACGTGTTCAGAGGTAGTCACATTCATATAATCGTATACATATAATTATAATTATTCGATACGTGTACAACACGTATGATCATAATAATATAATCGGTATACAACATATAATGACATGACTCTATAGATGTACAATACGTATTTTAAGGTTTAACAGATGGTTATTAAAAAGGCATTTACTACGAGAAAATATGTCTTGTAGAAAACAGTACACGGTCTCACGCTGTCATGCGTGGATATTTAACAACATACTGTTATAACAGACAATATAATATAATGTTGGCCGACTCAGTTTTCATTGCTACTAAGTTGCAGGCAAATCATTGTTGTGAGTATGTGTCACTGAATGTAGGAACGTACAAGTTATTGACATTGGTACGCATACTCATATTGGGATGTTACCGTGCAACTAGTATACTAATATACAAAAATATACGTTCTGTATTGATATCATCGTATACAATGGCATCTATTACTTACATCTGTATATACAATCTTAAATGCTCCTAAGAATATTCATCACGTTTCCGAATTAATCATAAATATATGTAATAATAAAGTAAGGTCGCACGTGTTCGAGAGACTTACGTAATTTGTTTTAGGCCATTTTTTGAAGAACTAGACACCTCTATTATCATCTATATCCTGTACATTCTCATTACGTTATGCCATAGTGTCATTGAAATAGTGTTATATTCTTCATTTATAATCCAACACGGATGCCATCGAGTCTATCTGGCGAATGGGTTTACGAATGGTAGTTTTCAGTAAACTCGGATCACTTGCCGGTATCGTGGACATTACTTTGTTGTTTGTCACTGAGTGAAGGTACTTCAGGTACCAGGTATTTCTCATCCGTAATGCACATGCCGCGCCAAGAGTCGGCCGTTTATATGGTTATCACAGCCAATGGCAAGTATTGACACATATTGATGACTATATGTACTAATAGGAGGAAGAGTTTCCTCCGAGAAAGTAACTCGGGAGAAGGTAGGAGTTGTTTTCTTAAAGTTGTTGATATATTTGGAAATGTATACTTTACAGGTTTTGGCAGTTTGGTCTGAACTATAACCACACACGCGCTTTCATTAGTATACTGGTACGGTTATCATACCCCTTGTCAGTACTACACATATGGATAAGTATATATTTGTAAACCTGTGGCCGGCCCTTGCCCCCAGGCTTACATTGATCCAGGGCCCGGGGATTGCGGGGGAAGACATGTCTCCTGTATACTTCCTGCCTTATTGGAGCAGATTATAGTGAGGAACGGGTCGTTATACTGCTTGGTGAGGTAACCGCACCTCTGTCCGCTCCCTGTAAACGATTCTGACTTGTCGCTACACGTGCAGAGCTACCGGCTGTTCCATTGTATTTTCCTAATAGATTTCCGATTTGGAACACAGCGCACTAACAACCCCGCCATAATGTACATGAATCGTAATGCCACGAAAACCGCAAAATGATTCGCTTACTGAAATACATGACTTCAAATATATGTATATTATATGTTCGATCTTGCAACTTTCTATGTACTTCTTATCGCGGTGGAAACGTCGAGAGGGTTCGGGTTTTTGGACGCCATTGCTTAACGTATTGACGGATAAACAATCTTTACCGATCCAGTAAATATATTCTTGCACCACCACTTTGCTACGACAACGTGGGTTGTGGTTCATACACCCAGCCACTGCTGTATTATTCACCCAGAGTTGGCTTTTCAAAGGTTTACGTAATATAGAAGCATCATTGTTGAATGGGGTGTGTTACATCCTTCACCCATGCACCTACCAGACTGCACGCAGCAGGTGATCATCACAAAGTGTGAAAGACATGACAGCGACGATTGATCAACGCATATACAAAGTCAGTTTAATTATCAGTTTCAAGAATCCATAACATGTTCGCAAGTTGTAATTAAAATCCTATAACAACTTAAGATCAAAAGTTAATCATGTTCAGCCGCTATTTACCTGGAGTTATAGGACATGTTCAGTCATTATGTACCTTGGGTTATATGACGTGTTCAATCGTTACATACCTTGGGTTATATGACGTGTTCAAGTGTTACATACCTTGGGTTATATGACGTGTTCAAGTGTTACATACCTAGGGTTATATGACGTGTTCAAGTGTTACATACCTAGGGTTATATGACGTGTTCAAGTGTTACATACCTTGGGTTATATGACGTGTTCAAGTGTTACATACCCTGGGTTATATGACGTGTTCAAGTGTTACATACCTAGGGTTATATGACGTGTTCAAGTGTTACATACCTTGGGTTATATGACGTGCTCAAGTGTTACATACCAAGGGTTATATGACGTGTTCAAGTGTTACATACCTAGGGTTATATGGCATGTTCAGGTGTTACACACCTTGGGTTATATGACGTGCTCAAGTGTTACATACCTTGGGTTATATGACGTGTTCAAGTGTTACATACCTTGGGTTATATGACGTGCTCAAGTGTTACATACCTAGGGTTATATGACGTGCTCAAGTGTTACATACCTTGGGTTATATGACGTGCTCAAGTGTTACATACCTTGGGTTATATGACGTGTTCAGGTGTTACACACCTTGGATTATATGACGTGTTCAGGTGTTACACACCTTGCATTATATGACGTGTTCAAGTGTTACATACCTTGGATTATATGACGTGTTCAAGTGTTACACACCTTGGATTATATGACGTGTTCAAGTGTTGCAAACCTTTGGTTATATGACGTGTTCAAGTGTTACACACCTTGGGTTATATGACGTGTTCAAGTGTTGCAGACCTTGGATTATATGACGTGTTCAAGTGTTACACACCTTGGATTATATGACGTGTTCAAGTGTTGCAGACCTTGGATTATATGACGTGTTCAAGTGTTACACACCTTGGGTTATATGGCATGTTCAAGTGTTACATACCAAGGGTTATATGACGTGTTCAAGTGTTACATACCTTGGGTAATATGGCATGTTCAGGTGTTACACACCTTGGGTTATATGACGTGCTCAAGTGTTACATACCTTGGGTTATATGGCGTGTTCAAGTGTTACACACCTTGGATTATATGACGTGTTCAAGTGTTGCAAACCTTGGGTTATATGACGTGTTCAAGTTTACACACCTTTGATTATATGACGTGTTCAAGTGTTACACACCTTGGGTTATATGACGTGTTCAAGTGTTACATACCTTGGATTATATGACGTGTTCAGGTGTTACACACCTTGGATTATATGACGCGTTCAAGTGTTGCAGACCTTGGGTTATATGACGTGTTCAAGTGTTACACACCTTGGGTTATATGACATGTTCAAGTGTTACACACCTTGGGTTATATGACGTGTTCAAGTGTTACATACCTTGGATTATATGACGTGTTCAGGTGTTACACACCTTGGATTATATGACGTGTTCAAGTGTTGCAGACCTTGGGTTATATGACGTGTTCAAGTGTTACACACCTTGGGTTATATGACATGTTCAAGTGTTACACACCTTGGGTTATATGACGTGTTCAAGTGTTGCAGACCTTGGATTATATGACGTGTTCAAGTGTTACACACCTTGGGTTATATGGCATGTTCAAGTGTTACATACCAAGGGTTATATGACGTGTTCAAGTGTTACATACCTTGGGTAATATGGCATGTTCAGGTGTTACACACCTTGGGTTATATGACGTGCTCAAGTGTTACATACCTTGGGTTATATGGCGTGTTCAAGTGTTACACACCTTGGATTATATGACGTGTTCAAGTGTTGCAAACCTTGGGTTATATGACGTGTTCAAGTTTACACACCTTTGATTATATGACGTGTTCAGGTGTTACACACCTTGGATTATATGACGTGTTCAAGTGTTACACACCTTGGGTTATATGACGTGTTCAAGTGTTACATACCTTGGATTATATGACGTGTTCAGGTGTTACACACCTTGGATTATATGACGTGTTCAAGTGTTGCAGACCTTGGGTTATATGACGTGTTCAAGTGTTACACACCTTGGGTTATATGACATGTTCAAGTGTTACACACCTTGGGTTATATGACGTGTTCAAGTGTTGCAGACCTTGGATTATATGACGTGTTCAAGTGTTACACACCTTGGGTTATATGACGTGTTCAAGTGTTGCAGACCTTGGATTATATGACGTGTTCAAGTGTTACACACCTTGGGTTATATGGCATGTTCAAGTGTTACATACCAAGGGTTATATGACGTGTTCAAGTGTTACATACCTTGGGTAATATGGCATGTTCAGGTGTTACACACCTTGGGTTATATGACGTGCTCAAGTGTTACATACCTTGGGTTATATGGCGTGTTCAGGTGTTACACACCTTGGATTATATGACGTGTTCAGGTGTTACACACCTTGCATTATATGACGTGTTCAAGTGTTACATACCTTGGATTATATGACGTGTTCAAGTGTTACACACCTTGGATTATATGACGTGTTCAAGTGTTGCAGACCTTGGGTTATATGACGTGTTCAAGTTTACACACCTTGGATTATATGACGTGTTCAAGTGTTTCAGACCTTGGGTTATATTACGTGTTCAAGTGTTACACACCTAGGGTATTTGACTTGTTCAATTGTAACATACCTTGGTTTATGTGAAGTGTCCAAGTGTTAAATGTGTCACTGCCTCCACAAAAGGAACAAATCATGTCACCATGTTTTCTTTGAAATCCTTCTTATTTTCACTGCTATTTCCATTAATTTTCTTCAAGACTGAATAAGACACGCACATAATGCTAAGGTAGACGGTGACTCGGGTATAATTTACAGTGTACCGGTATAGGCTATGGTCTAAGAAGTTTCGTGACCTAGGCGAGGAGACAGAACTGGAGATAAAACACGCGATGTTAGTGTTCAATATTTCGCGACTCCATGTTATGTGACTTCAGTCAAACAAGACAAACAGGGCGCGTTGGGGTTCGGTTGGGATGGCAAGTGGAAGGATGACAGCTGCGTGGTTGTTTGTTTGTTTGTTTGTTTGTTTGTTTCAGTCCTCCCAGACAACAGGGAATGAGGTGCTCACTGTATTGAAAGAGTGAGGAGTTAGTCATGTTTACACATTTAGCAGAATGAAATAAACACTATATAAAATATATTGCATTTGGTAGCAAAACAGATTTCAATGAAATATGTTATTATTTTTGCAACAAATGTTACTTCTGTAACCGACCCTCCATAATAGTTATGAATACTTGATAACTTCAGGCAATTTATCAACCTACTTCATCAAGGCAAAGTTCGAGGACAAACATCTCCAGAAAGAAGTCCGTCAAGGCACAGTTCGAGGACAAATAACTTCAGAAAGAAGTCCGAAAGTTCAAGGAAGACGCCGCCATGATGTACCGCCTGCTTATCGCAAACTATCGTTTACTGAAATATCTACTCTTTTTCTCTGTGATCCTTGTAATTCTATTGGTAAACAACACGTTAAGGGAGTACGCTGAACGTGTTAAAAGTATTGACATAACCAAGGTTCTTGAAAACAAGGTTTTTTACAGCGATAAAATATATGACATCCATGACCACAGCCACAACGAAGTGGATGAATTCTTTGACTATTCCACCTCACAGAACTGCACCGTGCGGGACTTACTGCTCAGCGCGGATCCCTCCTTTCATACTGTAAATCAGGATGTATTCTGTGACGAAAAGGCAAAAAGCAGTGACGTCATATGTAGGTGGTTCTTCACACAAATTGGAATGAGCGACATCCATGATGAAAATGCATGCAGGCGTACCGGAAGTGACTCCAAAGTACCCAAAATTGTGTATTACGTCATCTTCGGGCCATACACGTTTCAGTTCTATCATTACGTAAGTGTCGTGAGCGCCAGGCGGTTTATCAACCCTTCAGCCATCTACCTGATAGGAGACGCCCACCCCAATGGGGACTGGTGGAGACAGGTTCTGAGGGACGTTCCGGGAGTGAGGTTCATCTACAGGGAGAAGCCCCCGGGGATAAACGGCAAAACAGTCCAGTGGAAGCACCACTTGTCTGACCTTGTGAGATTACAGGCGCTGTATGGTAAGTGTCATGAATTGTAACTATAGCTCCGGTCACTGAAGAGTTCATTTTAATTCGTTACAGGCCAGTACATGATTTGGTTATAATTACGAGATTTATAGGAAAGCTGTTTTTGTTTTGTTTCTAACAACTCTTCACATATATGTCACGGGACAGGAATAAATGTACAACGAAAATAATAGAGAGGCTAGTAGGCAATCTAAATAAAATCAGATCTATGTTCTCGCTGCCGCTAAACAAAGATCTGAGGACATCCCATTACGGGTCACGGCAGGACGACCTTTCGCGAACGTTGACCGACGACTGAAATGACATCAGCCAAGTCGACATCAGCCAATTAGAAAGCAGCTTTCTTGAACTTTACGGCACTCGTTTCAACAAGGCGAATTCCATTTCTGTCTACGCTTGAAAAATATATTGACACAGTTCTCGATTAATATTTTGAAAACTGAACAAACGAACATTCCGGAATGTCTAATATATGGTTGAGAGTGTATGGCAGTGCTTCCCACGTACTGTGCAACGCCTCCTCCGTTCAAATGTTTATCCCACGGAGTCGAGAGATAGACGATAATTTTGACAGAATCAGTCGTACAGGCCGTAACTGTCATTCGGAATACCCCGTGTTAACGTTTTCGAGGTTGCATGATTTGAAAATACATTCCGAATGTCGCTTTCATGATCTGGTAAGCGATGCTTTGATTGGTCGGATGAAAGGTCGTTGTGACGTGACCCGTAATGGGATGTCCTTATGGGATCTTATTTTAATGAGATTGGGCTAGTAGGGTTCACGAGGCGTGGCCACTGAATGTGCTGTGCCGACAGTGGTTGTTCGGAGAAAGATCAGAAAAAAAGATAAACCTAAATGGGGTAACTGACAGAGGTGTTCATTTGGCGATAATGATGACTGCATGTCCCCCAGTTGAGTTTACATTGCGTAGGTAGAGCCTTTAACTGGTTGGTTCGTTTTCAGCCGATACAATGCCGGTTAGGCCTCCCTGCTAACAGTTTGAGACACGATCGACAAGGCCGGTCTTGAAATACGTAATCTAGACACGTCTGCTAGCATTTATCAACCTGCTACACTGTTATGACGTTAAATTCAGAAGTAGATCGGCACAGTTGCCAGATTTTTGGTACGGGACTTACAAGTAGGTTTCGTCTGTAGCCTGTCGAACACCCACAGTTCCAGGAAAGTGAGTTGGAGATCACCCACGGCCAGCCAGCCCACAACGTTCTGCTTGTGATACTGTTGGCCAAGTTGGTTGGTTTGTTGTTTAACGCTGCACTCAGCTATATGACGGCGGTCTGTAAATAATCGAGTCTGGACCAGACAATCCAGTGATTAATATCATGAGCATCCATCCACGCAATTGGGATCAATGACATGCATCAATCAAGTCAGCGAGCCTGACCACCCGATCCCGTTAGTCGCCTTTTATGACAAGCATAGTCATCTTTTACGGCAAGCATGGGTTGCTGAAGACCTATTCTACCCCGGAATCTTCAAGGGCACTGTTGGCCAAGAGGCGAGTAACGGGATCGGGTGGTCAAGCTCGCTGACTGATTCATGTCGTGGTATCCCAATTGCGCAGGTCGATACTCATGATATCAATCACCGAATTGTCTGGTCCAGGCTCGATTACTTATACCGTCATGTAGCGAGGAAATTCGTTACAAATAATTAAAGAACTGTATCCCTTTTGGCCATATAAGTATATAATTGTGTTTTGTCGTGGCAGCTAACGGCGGCATCTACCTGGACACTGACATGGTGGTCACTCGACCCCTGGAACCTCTTCTGGATTACGACATCACAATGGGGCTACTGGACAACGGCACCGGAATGGGCAACGCCATCATCCTGGCCAAGAGGGGGTCCAAGTTCGTCAGAGAGTGGTATGAAGGATATCGGACGTACAACAATAAAGAGTTTTACAAGAACTCGCTCCACGTCCCCCGGGATATGTGGCACAAGAACCCCAAGAGCATCCACATGGAATCTGACAGACTGTACCGGCCGAACTGGTTCGAGTCGGACTTGCTGTTTAAGAGGAACGACTATCCCTGGAGGGACAACTATGCTATACACGTGTGGACCAATCAAAACCCACTCCCTAAAGGGTTTTCTGACATTAACCGTTTAAACACCACCCTCGGGCAGATATTCCGCCATGTTTTATATGGAAGTACAGATTATAAAACTGACGACACGTGAGGTAACACAACAGTTGGGCCTGTATTTATTGTTTAAGCTGTGTGGCCATGTATGAGGCAGAGTTTATGTTGTGCGTGATCGTGTCCCATGTTATTATTATATTATATTATACATTTAAATATTAATACCGCACTTTTCCAGGTACTATAGTATTATTAGTTATGGTGTCTTTAGTTGCCGTATACGTGTCACATTTTTCTGCTAACCTAGTATGACACCGTATATGGCAACTAAAGACACCATAACGAATTTATTATGCCGATAAGTGCACTATTTGGTATCTTTGACGCACATGTCATGTCAAAATGAAAACTACAACCGGTATAAATGACAGGACCAGTTGGAGCTTGAACCTTCATAGAGTGAGGGCGAAACTGTATGAACGTCGGAGCTTGAACCTTCATAGAGTGAGGGCCAAACTGTATGAACGTCGGAGCTTGAACCTTCATAGAGTGAGGGCCAAACTGTATGAACGTCGGAGCTTGAACCTTCATAGAGTGAGGGCCAAACTGTATGAACGTCGGAGCTTGAACCTTCATAGAGTGAGGGCCAAACTGTATGAACGTCGGAGCTTGAACCTTCATAGAGTGAGGGCCAAACTGTATGAACGTCGGAGCTTGCGACACACAATTTTATTTAGTACGTGTGACTTCATGTTTACTAGACAGCAATACAACAACCAACTATATCACGAAATAAAATAGTTCCTAAAAAAAGAGGTGACATGAGCGTATGGATGCACCACTTGCTCTTCAGAAACATCTTACGCAACACAGGTGTTCAAATAATATCACCATTAGATGAGAAAGGTCTGTAAAGAACTACCTCAGTAAGTCAGTCACTATGACAGCGCGTCGTAATACATTTACATCAAGTACAAGACGTCAAAATGGCCGGCACGATAACCGTGACGGGAGAGATTTCCGATGTTGTTAATGAACCGACGATCATACAGCTCCGACGTTCATACAGTTCACTCTATGAAGGTCCATACTCCGATGAACTCACACAAAGTCAAGGTCAATTCTTAAATGAACGTGATCGACCTCTCGTCCATGGAAAAGTCGTATATCGTGTAAACGTCAAATTAAAAAATTATTGCTATGTGACGTCATTGGCGTCACGTTGTTTGTTTGTGACGTTATCCCAAAGTATGTTTTATGACGTTGCTATTTGTAACTCAGTGACCTCCGTTGTAAGCTTTTTTTCTCTGTATTTTTTTTATAAATAAAGTCTTTATTCTTTAATAAATAATGTCTTTGCTCATCACAATTAATGATATTAAAACACAAAACAGTGTCGAATAACGAATTTCTGTACAAGAATTTCCATGTGAAATATGTGAGGTGGGTGTTGGAAAATTCAAAATGGCTGTTACTGACAGTATATAGTCTCATATTAGGTCAGTAACAACCATCTTGGATTTTTACTGACGGTATACGGGCTCATGTGGGGTGAGTAGTTCTGCTCTCTGATTGGTCAATCTCTTTTTCAGGCATAATAACTGCTCAAATGCGGTTCATTTGTTCCCCGACTAGTGGATCCATATGCATTCCAGTTATCATTCTCAACTCCCTAGGGAGACATACCACCCAAGCTGTCTACGGGTGCTAGAGTTTTGTTGTCACATGCACCTCACATATCGGATACCCATATCTAGCTGGGTGAACAGAGGCACATTTGAACTAATTATTAAGTCACTTGCCAACAATGACACTACACGTTTTGTGTTACAGGTGTATGCACCTATTGTGTTTCCACTATCTGGTCATCTACCATCGGACTAGTGGGTTCTTTTGAGTGCACATAGTGAACGTACTGTACACTAGGGGTAGTGGCAACACTGTAAAGAAGTGTAAACATTGTTGGTCCATAGGCCGAATAACAACCCGGTCACTAGCGGGAAATAATCTCAACACCTGGCACTTTAGACCAGGACTTCTGCTCAAAAGTGTGATGTGTTTGTATGACTGCGTGTAGACCGCTTATCCGGACTCCAGATATGCTAAAACCTCGTTTACGGACGATATTTGTGTGAAACGAAATATATACTACATAAAGTTCTTCATTTATCCGGAAATCCGGTTTCAAGATCCGGACAGTGAATTTCAATTACCAATAGTGAAAAATACACGCTACTGTGCCCAGTTTACTGGACAGCGACCACGCTTGACGATGTTAGTTTTGCAATTCATCATCCCGCATCCAACATCAAAAGGGAGGGCATCATGTGATCACAGTGTCTGATTTGATTATAAAAAGTGTTCACTGCGTATCTGTACTTCTGTTTGCAATATATTTTATTAATTGTATTAAAACAAATCAATATTGTTTACATTAATTTCGGCGAGGGTTTGGATAAAAATTCTGAGTTTCATTAAAACATTTACCAATTCAACATTAATATTTGTTGTGTTTCTTATACAGATAGGAATAGGTTACATAACACAATTCATGATTTTGTTTTAATGTTATTGCCACTCTATTGCCTGGCGGATCCAGTTTTGCAACTCGCACATCCCGGATACAATCGGTGTCACTCTCGGTGACATCACATCACTGATTGATTAGTTTGGGCGATCAAAAATAAATACCAATCTATTAACGTTGTTGTTTCAAGTTGAGCGGATTACCTGAGAAAACTCAACAGAGTTCATCACGGGATTACTGTACTATGATAACAAATAGTTGTCACTTTATCATTATATCTGCGTTGACCAATCAAAGGCGAGAATTCTTCGAAAGTCCGGGAAAAAATACAAATGCCAGTTTAGTGAACATGTGGTGGTGCAACTGCAACGTACGTTGTGTTATCTTTTTAGGCGAGTCGGTTGCAACTCGCCACCACTGGCGATTACAAGTGATGTCCCTTCAATATCCCTCCTATTGACCATTCAGATTCCACGTGAGCACCTTGATTTTAAACATGAAAAGATTTGGAAAATATCTGTTCACGCTATGTTGTCGGTACACAGACTATGCAAATCGATACCTGCAGGACAGATAACGAACCGGAAGTCGATTTCGTTTCGCGATTTTGATTGGACTATGCATAGATTCGTTAGTGCAGCCACACAAAAATAACTCCATAATTCCGGACTAGTTCGGCAAGGGCGGAAACTGGACTTTTTAGTCAGTTAACTCCCTTGCCTCGAGAAGATGAAGTACCAGTTAATTGGTAACCCCTTCGCTCTCGAGAAAAGGTTACAACATGACACGCCTTTTACTCATGTGTCACCACGTTTTGGATTACTCGCTACCTCATGTTGTCTCGATGTCGCAGGCTTGCCCGAGTAGTGTTGACATGAAGGCAGCAATTGCCCTTCCCTGTCATCATCTTATAGGAGTGAGTGAGTGAATGTTATTTATCGCTGCAATCAGCAAAACCCCAGTTATATCACGACGGCCTGTAAATAATCGTCAAATTAGGCCAAGCAGTGACTGACATCATGACACCCAGTAAGCCAGGTCACATTGTAACCATCCGATCCTCATTTCAGTTGGGTCTTATGAAATTCTGGAGACCTTTTCTGCACTGGAATCCCCAGCTGTGCAGTTAGGTGTATCTGTGGTTGTGAAAATTAATGTAGGTCAAGTTATTGATTAAGTCAGTTAGTTTGTTTTAACGTCGCTTTGAACATTATTTCAGTTATATCACGGCGTGTCAAATTAATGAGGGAGGAAAGCCCGAAGTGGTGCTGAAAAACCAAGGAACTTAAACATGGCGAACTATTATTGACACGACAACATGAAACGAAATGCACTATATTATATATAGTTATATATTGTTTTGCAACATTATTGTTTAACACATTTTCCAAATCTGCCTCCATAATTAGGCATGGGAACATCCGGTCTCTTACAATGGAGGCCAGGCTTGCACGGGCAGGACATACTGTAATGGCGGGCGATGGGGGAATACTGTGACTGGATCATGCACCAATCAGAGCTCTCGTCTTTCAGCGCATCGCATGTATGGCTGTAGAAAGGATCCAATAAAATCTGCCGTTTCTTGATAATGGGTGAGAGAACACAGCACTGTTGGTGGGCGCAGTCGGCGTTGGTGCGACACTGATACATCATGGACGGCGTGGTCCACTTGTCACACTGCACAGAACGACCAAAAGAGTGATGAAACGTGACCACGACCAACATTACGCATACAACAGCTTAAAGTAAGCCAGTATTCCAGTCACAATCAGGCAAACTAAATGGGTGATATCAACTTTAGCAAACCCTCTACTGCTACAAGACCGGTTGAATACATTTGACGACCAGTGCAAACGTCGAAATTAAACTGGTGACAGACAATATGCTGCTGCTATGGCAAACCAAACATCCAGTGGCGGATCCTGGGTTGTTTCTAAAACGGGTGCACACTATCCAAGTCACATAGTGAACAAAGTTGCAGCTCTTGGTACAACATCCAACTGTAATGTATGCACATTAATAACAGACCCACCCGTGAAGATCCGGGTTACAATAGCTCTTCAGCAACCCATGCTTGCCGTAAAAGGCGACTAACGGGATCGGGTGGTCAGGCTCGCTGACATGGTTGATGCATGTCATCGATCCCAATTGCTTGGATCGATGATCATGAGATCGATCACTGGATTGTCTGGTCAAGACTCGATTATGTAGACCGCCATCATATAGCTGGAATATTGCTGAGTGCGGCGTTAAACAACAAACAAACCAACTAAATACCAGACCCGTAGGGGGTTCATCAGAGCTGAGGGTGGCGAAACATTCATTTCTGTAGCTCAGGGAGGGGTGTGTGGAACAAACAGCAGATGACAAGAAGAACAAATGATTTGGGGGAAAGGAAGGAAAAGCATTTTAACGAGGGACTATGTACAATGCCAATGTACACAAAGTCTGTCCGAACTCTAGTCTGAGGTGGCATGATTATGTGCCACCCTAAACTAAATTCCCCTTTGAAAGGTCATTTAGGGTAATTAGAATTCCCATGATGTTCTACCAACATAATATCTTACTTTGCGAAACTTACCGCAACAACGCCAAGTACAACTGCAATCAAACACAATGTCTTCATTTGAACAGCCTTGTAGTTGTCTACAATTGGGTCATCTGAAACAATCTTATCTTTCAACACTACCGATAACATGTCAGGGCAGATAATGACAGCTTTCTACAGGCATGGTAGTCAGCGAGTGAGTGGCATTCAGCAGTTTTCCGTCACATCAATCGGGTACATCAAGAATGTAACATTATGTCCATGAGTACTATGGGTAATTGATCAAGAGAAAACTAACTATGAAATAATGTTGAATATTAATTCACTTCCGACACATAACCGAACAAACATCAATAATAGGCCACTTATATTGTGCTATATTCCCACACCACACAGGGGCCTGCTCAAAGCTCTACTATTATTACCCCAGTTACTGGATCAGTGAGCTCTCGATTTCATTCTCAGCTCCTTAGGGAGTATAAAACCCAAGCTGCCTGTGAGGTGCTAGGTTAACACTCACATAACATGTCATCCTACCGGGTATCCACTCACAGCGGGTTGAACAAAGTCACTTACCCAAGGAGGATACTAGGGTAAAGTCGGACATGACAGATTGTGTTTCATTGTACTCTGCTGCTTACACTATAAACAACTTGCTTGCATGGCAAAGGCTGTTTGTTACATGCCATCCCGATAAAGGTGCAATATTCCTGGCTGTTTCAAGCATTCACTCACTCAATCTGTGTGACCAGACTGTGTGTCTTCATCAGCTCAACATGTTGATGTATATGTCTGAGATACTGTCTTTCAAAACAAAATGCCCAACAATAAGAAATTCCCACCTCTTTATTGATGAAATGTAGCAACCAGGTGGACACTTTATGAACATCATCCATGATATCTACACTGTGCAGTTGTAGTTCACTAACACCAGTGTGCTACCCTATAGAGGAGTCCTCGAGGTTAGAAAACATACCGTGCAGCAAACCTACATAGTGTGAACTTAGTTAAAACATGGACATACAATTTCATTTCAGGACAGTATTCAAGCTTCCAGAATCAATAGTCCAGGCTGTGTGTTGTATGAAGGATTTGCGAAAACAGAACCCGTCTTTTTCCATGGCAAAGCACCTCTGCCTAATTCCCAGTCAAGACACCAGCATCCTATCCAGTAGGCCGATATGATTTACACAAACATAAATCTTATGATATCACTAGTGCATAACACAAGTCCACAACACGATGAAATGCTATCATAATAACACCAAATGTATCAGAACAGCTTCTCCAAGAGTTTGTCCTTCACTGGGACCTTGACCTGTATAAGGTCAACAGATTCAGGTCTGATATTGAAGAAGGACATGTCAAAAGTTTTACTTCTGAAACCAGTGGAAAAATTGTTGTAGCCAGATACATTTTGTTATTGTGCTTTCATCTGACATGAGTAAAAGGCACTTTAGTAAAAGACTAGAGGCCAAGATAGCTTGTATAAAAGCTTATATCTCTTGCATGTGCTAACAGCGTTTCACACCCAAAGGATGAAAAATACAAAGTCTCATCCATCTACAATGCTTGTTGAATTATCATCATGTCATGTAACAATGGTATGTCCAGAGTATTGACCTTGAGAGGGAATGTGACTGTATTATCATGGTTCTAGGCCGTACTTGCATTGACAAATGAATGGTTTTTTACTTATTAAAAGAAGGTCACAGTGTCCTACTAATTTATAAGTTTGTCAAAACTTGCCATGAATAGAATAAATCCCACTTATAAAATCAGGTAGCTGCAGCATGAATAAAAGCTTTAAAAATCGTTTTGAAAATCACACAAATTTCTTTAAACAGTTCCCTCTTAGAATGTCTGTTACACTATGGTTTTGAATTAAGTTGTGAGATCAGCAGTAGACCTTTTAGTCAAACAATCACAGAAGTAAAACAAACAAGAAAAGTACTGAAATTATATACAAATATCAAGCAATAAAAGTACCTTTGTCTATTAGTACCATTCAGCTCAAACAGTGTTTTTCTTGTCAGAACACCATCCTTGTCCTATTCAAGGGTTTTCCTGTGACTAAAGGATATAATTACTCCCCAGGGTGTTTATTCATGCCACTGGGTTACCAAGATGGATGTTGTGTGGAACAACAAACAGAAACAACATACCTGGTGAAAACAGGACCTCCCAGCACATGTGTTACCATGTGTTACCATGTGTTACCACGTGTAGCCTATCATCACTGACACTACCTGGAGTAGCAATCCGCTGTCATTGATACAGTAACACTGCCATAAGTACCCATACCCCTTTCAGAGGTTATTACATGTGTTCCTCATGTTTGTACTATTATTGATGTATGTCAAGTCATACCATTCCTAACAATTAATCGATGCGATATGTCCCCATACCATGCTATGGATACATTGACACGACCATGAGTCGTCATACTCTATTAGTGATGAATTAACATGACCAGTTGTCATAACCCTCTGATTGATGTATTCAAATTTTCCAGCATAACTTTCATTTAAGAATATGGTTATGGAACATTTGAAAGAAATAATCGTTGAATATTCCTTAATGCTGAATTAACAATTTTACAGCTTTTTCAGAAAGCAAAACTATTGCATAATTTCCTTGTAATTTCTCGAGTTTTACACTTCCAGACTTCATGAAGTAGAAACCCATGAAGATTCAGGGTTACATTGTGCACTGTTGCCACCTTCACAGTATCAGGAAATGATCACGAAGAATCTCATCAAAATCAGATCTCTACACTAATATCTAAGGACATCCCATTACAGGTCACGTCAGAATGAACTTTCGCAAACTTGGATCAATCAAAGAAATGAAGAACAAGAAGTTGACATCAGCCAATCAGAAAGCAGCTTTCTCAAGCTTTACAACACTAGTTTCAACTTCCATTCCAGACTATGCTTGAGAAATAATTTGAATAAGTTCTCGATTTAAAATGTGAAAACTGAACCAAAGAAAATTTTGGAATGTCTAATAGATGGAAGAGATTGTATGACAGTATTGAAAGTTTCTTCTGTTTCAAATGTTAACCCATTGAAGTGAGACAAAGAGGGATTAGTGCAGCCCGTAACTGACGTTCGGAATACCCCGTGTTAACCTTCTCAAGGATGCATGATTAGAAAACACATTCCCACTGTCACTTTCATGATCTGGTAAGTGAGGCTCTGATTGGTCTGATGTGACCCGTAATGGGATGACCTCAGATCTTTGGCAGTAGTGAGAACTAAATCTGATTTTGATGAGATTGTCAATGATAGGTCTCCAACAGTCCCTGGTAGTAGGAGTGCCTTATTCCACACATGGCTCAAGATGAATGCCTGCTTGACGAAGTGGCTCTTTGGTTTCCATGGTGAGTATCTAAAATTAATCAGGACAGAACAGATTCAACAGTAGACCAACTCATTAATTTGTTGTCTTATTTCACATTTGAAGAAGTCTCAATTTCTTAAAATGAATTTAGAATTCAAAACATGGTAGAAAAATCAAAATATTTGTAAAAAATAACAAAATCATAAAAGTTATTTTAGGCACATCACATACTTCCTGTCTGTATAAGTATTTGTCTGTATTTAGTCACTCTAAGTATTTATTCCTGCTCTTTCTTCTGCAGGACATACCATGAACGGTGACATTTGAAGGGTGTCACGTTTCACACCCTTGTGCCACACATAGGGTATGTTTAACCATTTGAGTTAATATGTATTGTAAGCCATTTCTATCATATCATCTAATAATACTTAGTTGTAAGTAATAATAGAAATGATTGTATTGCTTTGATGATGATATGATATATATTATGTTTTAATATGCATATACTATATTATCTGTTTCTTATTACAGGGTGTCTATCGTGATTATCAATAAACATAAGCCTCACACCCCGTAGCCGTCTTGATGTCATCTGTCTAAAATAATGGATAAAGCCAAGAAAACCCGGTTACATTTATATACTTGTCCTGTCTCACACTATGCATTTCTTATATTCTTCTTCGATCCTATGTGGAAATGTGCTTAAACAAAGTTTCCAGCTTAAAAACAACAACAATTCACCCGAACATATCCCCACATCACTATGGTTACCATCCAAAAACCAGGTCATGAACATGATCCCGTGCACATCGACCTTACACGACCTGATCACATGTCCAACCCATTCTCTTTCTCATTGCGGTGTTGTGTTTTTTGGCGTGTATTTCCCTTCGACTTTACATTGTTTGAATGTAACACCTTACAGAATGGGAAAAAAAGGACCAGTTGAGGTCCGCATGTAAAGCTTTGTCATCATATTTACTCACTTCGGACCATCATACACTTTGTTGTGACTGCCGCGGCCAGTGTAGTTTGACCTCCGAGTGTTCCGGGCGAAATCACCTGTGTTCTTAACTTACTTCCACAAGTGTTGTCACAAGGAGATGGACCGTTGGCCAAAGTCTAAAACTTAATTAAAAAAGTCCAAGTTGGCTAAACTGTCTCCTGTTTAATCTGGCAAGTCTTCTGCTTCCCTCCCTCTGCTCCTACACTTGCGGATAGCTTTGTTGAAAGAGAATGAGTTGGCAGAGATGGACACCTGATCACATGGTGTAAGGTTGACATGCACGGGTAACCATGGTGATGCAGGGATGTGTTTGGGTGAATTACTTTTAAGAAGCTGGAAACTTTGTTCAAGCACGTTTCAACATAGCTTAAAGAGGAAAGAAGGAATGCATATTGTGAGACAGGATAAGAATATAAGTATACAATTTATAATACAATTTTTACTTTTTATAATAATACACGCAAAATGGCTGAGAAATTGTCAGTAATAACATTTTCAAAATGGCAACCAACTATCTAAAACCTCGACCAATTTGCACAAAACAATCTTAACGCCACAATTATTGCAAATTGCTAAAATTGCAATCTTAGCTTCGGTTACAATAACCATTGACTTGCACAAAGTGATTGTTGGCTAGTAGCACTGAAAGACACAATCTGTAAGTATACAGTTGATCCGGACAAATCTTCAGTACCAAAGATCATTAATTGTAGAACCTGAATCAACTTGACAAAATAGTGTGCAAGGTCGTGTTCTGTTACACAGAAATAGTCTGCATTATGTTCACACATGAAGAATGCATCAGAGTCAGAACATTAATCATCGCAATAGTGAGGCTTAAAACAACTGGTAATCTGGTAAGCATTTTCTTAAACTGGAAACACATGTTTCCCTGGGCTTAAATTCTCCATGTTTAACTGAAAAGACAAAGAAATGTTTTAATCATGGTCTCTCACTCTGAAATTCAGGAACTCCTTTCTGCTAAATCCTTATGATATGAAGTTTGTGTTATGTTTTTTGTGGCCATGTATCAATAAACATGTTTGTTTGTCTCCATACTTACTGGATGATATATGATGGCCTCAGTAGGAAGGTTGGAGAATATCAAAGACACATCACACATCTCAGGAACTGGAACATTTGAATGCTCTTAATATACATCTAACTAGAAAGTGTTTTTACTCGTAAAAACATATGTCTCCCCCCACTCCCCTAACCCCCATTCATTCGTTTACTTCACGTTAAACCCCATCTCTTCATTCCCACCCTCCATTACTAAATAACAAAGACAAAAATAGAACTCCTAGAAATTTCAAACAACTAATGGGCACCACTTCAGGACTTGGTTAATATGTTACAACTTCATGAAATAATATTGAACAGTTTTTGAGTTATGGTCCGGAAACAAAGCTTACCCCCATTCAGAGTCTATGTTCAAGTTATCTCCATGGAAACGAGAAAAAATAAAAATGTCAAAAATCTCTAAATAGCAAAAGGCACCACTTCAGTGCTGGGTTAATGTGTATACAAAGTTTTCGCGAAAACATATTAAACGGTTTCTGAGTTATGGTCAGGAAACAAAGCTTACCCCCATTCAGAGCCTATGTTCAACTTACCTCCATGGAAACGAGAAAAAATAAAAATGTCAAAAATCTCTAAATAGCAAAAGGCACCACTTCAGTGCTGGGTTAATGTGTATACAAAGTTTCGCGAAAAAATATTAAACGGTTTCCGAGTTATGGTCCGGAAACAAAGCTTACCCCCATTCAGAGCCTATGTTCAACTTATATCCATGGAAACGAGAAAAAATAAAAATGTCAAAAATCTCTAAATAGCAAAAGGCACCACTTCAGTGCTGGGTTAATGTGTATACAAAGTTTCGCGAAAAAATATTAAACGGTTTCTGAGTTATGGTCCGGAAACAAAGCTTACCCCCATTCAGAGCCTATGTTAACTTATATCCATGGAAACGAGAAAAAATAAAAATGTCAAAAATCTCTAAATAGCAAAAGGCACCACTTCAGTGCTGGGTTAATGTGTATACAAAGTTTGCGAAAAAATATTAAACGGTTTCCGAGTTATGGTCCGGAAACCAAGCTTACCCCAATTCAGAGTCTATGTTCAAGTTATCTCCATGGAAACGAGAAAAAATAAAAATGTCAAAAATCTCTTAATAGCAAAAGGCACCACTTCAGTGCTGGGTTAATGTGTATACAAAGTTTCGCGAAAAAATATTTAACGGTTTCTGAGTTATGGTCCGGAAACAAAGCTTACCCCCATTCAGAGCCTATGTTCAACTTATATCCATGGAAACGAGAAAAAATAAAAATGTCAAAAATCTCTAAATAGCAAAAGGCACCACTTCAGTGCTGGGTTAATGTGTATACAAAGTTTCGCGAAAAAATATTAAACGGTTTCCGAGTTATGGTCCGGAAACCAAGCTTACCCCCATTCAGAGTCTATGTTCAAGTTATCTCCATGGAAACGAGAAAAAATAAAAATGTCAAAAATCTCTAAATAGCAAAAGGCACCACTTCAGTGCTGGGTTAATGTGTATACAAAGTTTCGTGAAAAAATATTAAACGGTTTCTGAGTTATGGTCCGGAAACGGTGGGAACGCCGACGCCGACGCCGACGCCGACGCCGACGCCGACGGGAACCGTGCCAAAAACAATATGTCTCCCTCCATTCTGGGGGAGACATAATTACAGGAAGAGCTGAATCCTTCTGTGTCCTGGAACTAAAGCCACTGGTCAGGGGCTGAAGCCTAGTCAAATATCTTTCATTGAGGAAAGCTTCAGCTATGCCAGCCCATATGTCAAGCATAAAAGCTACTGAAAATGATGCCAAAGTACACAGTCAGATTAACAATGCATGTTTTTGGCACAGACTGAGACTGTGGCAATTATGGCTGAGATTTGCTTTGGTGAATTTAGAATGAGCCAGACAAAGCTACAATCGGTACTCTGATATCCCAGTTACATTGGAAAAGGTTTTAATATTGATTTTTTTCTTGAATGAAATAAACTGTTAGAATTTGATTATGTCAGAAGTTCTAAACTTGAAAGCAAGACAAAGAAAGAATGAAGGCTAGTGTCATCTATTTGAACATGTCTAATAATTGTCATACAAATATTTCAAACCATAAATTTTGACATTTTCAGTGGACCAAACCAATGTAACAAGGACAGATATTCTACTTTGTCCTTTTAAATCTGTAAAATAGTTGTCAAAAGACAACATGTTAATTTTAACTTAATTTTAACTTCCCACTAACCCATATCATGGTACCAGAGACAAGTCTATTTTCACGCAAAAAAACCTACATATCAAAGTCCTCATTTTCTACCTCTTCTTTCTGCCTGGATATATAGCACAGTGTTAATGTCATCCACAGCGTCTACTCACATCATCATAGCCAAACATGCTCCTTCCGGTCTCCCCTCCATTGGTCAGGGCATCCCTCTTCCTGAAGGCATCTGGAGACGAACAACATCACTACCAATACAGGTGTGATAATATTTGTCAGTTAAATAGAGAATCTCACCTGAGTTTCTTTTGATATCAAATATATCAACACGAGTTGATAAAAGTGAGAAAACACCGAAGCTTGCCGAGGATTCTTTCCACTTTAATCATCGAGTGTTGATAAATAATGTATTTGATATCAAAAGACACGAGGGTGAGATTTTATTTATCATCCAACATCATTCTTCCAACTCTTTCAGTTTGAAGACAGTAATAAGCAGTGTCTTATGCTAACAGCTTCAGTAGCAGAGCCATAAGTGATCTTGATCTGATGATAAGTGATAAGCGAAATCTACAGTGTAGATATCCAGTGTACAGTATATACTATAACCATGACAGTGAGGGGTATCACAATATACATGTACCACATGTCACAGTAGATAAGCCGATGTCATTGTTAATACTAACATGGTCCTTAAAATCTGTATCAAAATGTTATGTGCAGTAAATAAGCCGGACCACCAACCTAATTTTTCGTCACGATCCTTCATTGGAAATACAATATCAACAAATCCGTATTGAATTACGCAAGTTAATACACATGAACGTCACCACATCACCAGCTATCCAAAGGGATTTCGTGCCTGCACACTGAAGGGTAAAACCATTGTAAACCAAGGACAAACCAAGGAAGAACCCAAGTGCATATGTTTCTTCAAATTTTATATTTTCACAAAGACAGTTACACATTTCATGGCATATGTTCATTGATATGTGTAGACTTTTTCAAAGGAAACAGATGAAGAACTGTAATTTGCTGTACCAACTGGGTAAGACAAATCATGGCACAGGTACCAGGTTAAACCCAAGGAATACAGTGCATACTGCACTACTAACTGCAGCTTCCCGAGGCAAGGCAGTTAACTGACTGTAAAAGTCCAGTTTCCACCCTGACTGGACTAACAAGTCTATGCAGAGTCAATTTAAAATTGGGTAACGAATTCGACATTCGGTTCGTAAACTGCTGTCCAGATTTGAATCGATTGAAGGAATTGCAAAGCATTTGTACCGATAACTTAGAGTCAGCAGGTATTTTTCATATCTTTTCGTGATTTGTATAAAGGAGCTAACATGATTTGATACACTTAGAGAAGTAAGACCCGTTTTATTACAATATAGATCTAAATTATCAATCAGATCGTCTTCACTGGGACCCGCCTTTTTATTTGAAGCAAATGAAAGTGATATGAGAGGTGGAATTTGATTGGTCAATAGTGGGGACATTGAAGGGACAAAACTCATAATAGCCACAGGTGTCGCTACGATCGAGCCCAGAAATTCCAGCCTAGTTCGACAAGGGTGGATACTGGAATTTTACAGTCAGTTAACTTCCTTGCATTGGGAAGGTGTACTTATTGTGAGTGAGATAGATTATTACAGTTATCCTAGACAGAGGCCTTACCAGTATATGCCCGTAGTCTCACTGAGACAGACACAAAATCATCAAATGCCACCAGACAGCGCCCAGGGGGGACAACTCTTGAGTATCTCTTTAATATTGTTGTGAGAGCCTCTTGTGAAATCTGATAGCCTTCAGGGGAGAGAGTGAAGATGTATGTATTATTATATTTCAAACACAGGATTAATGAAAATTGAAATAGCATTCTGAAATTTATAACAATTTGGACAGAATTACTTTACAGATTTATCAATGTTTTAAACCATGTACCCAACACACCAAAAGACATATGATGTAAGCTTGGTGCTGCTAAATGGATATTGGGGTGAAAAAAGGTGCTATTAAATCTTTTTTAACCTTTCAAACTGCTGTACTAATCTAATAATGAGATATGAAAATTAGACATTTCACCACAACTTGAGAAAATAAAATAAACAATGTTTAGCAGATTTGAATTTTGAATGAAACATTTAAATTAAAAATTAAACATGTTTACTTTTTTAGACTATGAGTCCATCATGAGTATCATATGCACCAGTACACCTTAAATATTCCAAGAAAAGGAGAAGAAATTTCTTCTTAAAGAGACAAAAGATGTGACATAAAAAAAATCCAGAATCACAGTTACTTTTATCTTTGACTATGAATACAACCTTGAATAAAGCAAAGGAAAGAATACAAGTTGAGTAAAACCCAAGCAGCCTACCAAACAGACCAGTGATGACCCTGACCAGCTCGCCGGACTCCATGAAGCCCGAGCGGTCAGCATCATGCTGACAGAAGACACTATACCAGGCCACAAGGCACTGCTGAAGCTCCAGGAACTCTTCCCACTGCATGAAGCCATCCTGTGATCTCTGGACCAAGCTCAGGGAAATTGGCGTACCATGGTGTAAAATCCTTTACTTAAACTACTGGGATTTTTAAAATCATAGAGTCAGGAGCATCAGTGGTCAAAATACACAAAACAATGCACATATTAGGAAAAGAATTTATGGATGTCAACTTATGAAGATGACATCCATAAATTCCCTTCCTCATGTGTATCACTCCTAAATGCCAATCATAGTCTTAATGCACATATTATTCACCAAAAACCTACCAAAATAATTCAGCCAGACCATTGGACATGCATGTTGTAAAAGTTGATCATCAGAAACAGAAACAGCTTATCTTGGCCTGTCAAGCACCTGGGTATTGATATCACTGGCTCTGTGGATATCCTGCCATGCTGCCTCCAACATCTACCCTAACTATACATAACACATGTGACTTTACTCTCCTACAGGCAGTAGGTATCGTGTATAACACTTCCAGGGGCCGGGGAGCCTGTATCACTGCCACACATCAGTGCGAGTACATCCTGCGTCAAGGATACATCCAACATGGCGATCATTATGCTGGCAAGAAATAGAAAGAAGAATAGACATAAACCTGACCAGAGGAAACAGAAACTGTGATTATTCTTAGTTTAAGAACAGACTTGACACTGGAAACACTTTCATACCATTTTAATTCTTAGCAAAGTCGTGTAAAAATGTTACTCCACTCTGTCAGAAGTATGATAGCTTACTCAATAATGAAGAGGGAAAGTCTTACTGTTCACTGTCAAATCCATCTCTGTGCCTGGATCAAACTAATACCAGGTACAGCAGTACAGTACAATCTGTCCATTACTTTGTGTTAGTTGTGTACAAGGTAGAGAACACATGTCATTCATCACACCCACACACACACATGGGGATCTCACAGAGGTTCACTGTATCCACGTACAGCAGTACAGTACAATCTGTCCATTACTTTGTGTTAGTTGTGTACAAGGTAGAGAATACATGTCATTCATCACACACACACATGGGGATCTCACAGAGGTTCACTGTATCCACGTACAGCAGTACAGTACAATCTGTCCATTACTTTGTGTTAGTTGTGTACAAGGTAGAGAACACATGTCATTCATCACACACACACATGGGAATCTCACAGAGGTTCACTGTATCCACGTACAGCAGTACAGTACAATCTGTCCATTACTTTGTGTTAGTTGTGTACAAGGTAGAGAACACATGTCATTTTTCACACACACACACACACATGGGGATCTCACAGAGGTTCACTGTATCCACGTACAGCAGTACAGTACAATCTGTCCATTTCTTTGTGTTAGTTGTGTACAAGGTAGAGAACACATGTCATTCATCACACACACACATGGGAATCTCACAGAGGTTCACTGTATCCACGTACAGCAGTACAGTACAATCTGTCCATTACTTTGTGTTAGTTGTGTACAAGGTAGAGAACACATGTCATTCATCACACACACACACACATACATGGGGATCTCACAGAGGTTCACTGTATCCACGTACAGCAGTACAGTACAATCTGTCCATTACTTTGTGTTAGTTGTGTACAAGGTAGAGAACACATGTCATTCATCACACACACACATGGGAATCTCACAGAGGTTCACTGTATCTACGTACAGCAGTACAGTACAATCTGTCCATTACTTTGTGTTAGTTGTGTACAAGGTAGAGAACACATGTCATTCATCACACACACACATGGGAATCTCACAGAGGTTCACTGTATCCACGTACAGCAGTACAGTACAATCTGTCCATTACTTTGTGTTAGTTGTGTACAAGGTAGAGAACACATGTCATTCATCACACACACACATGGGAATCTCACAGAGGTTCACTGTATCCATGTACAGCAGTACAGTACAATCTGTCCATTACTTTGTGTTAGTTGTGTACAAGGTAGAGAACACACGTCATTCATCACACACACACACATGGGGATCTCACAGAGGTTCACTGTATCCATGTACAGCAGTACAGTACAATCTGTCCATTACTTTGTGTTAGTTGTGTACAAGGTAGAGAACACATGTCATTCATCACACACACACATGGGAATCTCACAGAGGTTCACTGTATCCACGTACAGCAGTACAGTACAATCTGTCCATTACTTTGTGTTAGTTGTGTACAAGGTAGAGAACACATGTCATTCATCACACACACACATGGGAATCTCACAGAGGTTCACTGTATCCAAGTAGAGCAGTACAGTACAATCTGTCCATTACTTTGTGTTAGTTGTGTACAAGGTAGAGAACACATGTCATTCATCACACACACACATGGGAATCTCACAGAGGTTCACTGTATCCACTTACAGCAGTACAGTACAATCTAACCATTACTTTGTGTTAGTTGTGTACAAGGTAGAGAACACATGTCATTCATCACACACACACACACACACACATGGGGATCCCACAGAGGTTCACTGTATCCACGTACAGCAGTACAGTACAATCTGTCCATTACTTTGTGTTAGTTGTGTACAAGGTAGAGAACACATGTCATTCATCACACACACACATGGGAATCTCACAGAGGTTCACTGTATCCAGGTACAGCAGTACAGTACAATCTGTCCATTACTTTGTGTTAGTTGTGTACAAGGTAGAGAACACATGTCATTCATCACACACACACATGGGGATCTCACAGAGGTTCACTGTATCCACATACAGCAGTACAGTACAATCTGTCCATTACTTTGTGTTAGTTGTGTACAAGGTAGAGAACACATGTCATTCATCACACACACACATGGGAATCTCACAGAGGTTCACTGTATCCGGGTACAGCAGTACAGTACAATCTGTCCATTACTTTGTGTTAATTGTGTACAAGGTAGAGAACACATGTCATTCATCACACACACTCATGGGGATCTCACAGAGGTTCACTGTATCCACGTACAGCAGTACAGTACAATCTGTCCATTACTTTGTGTTAGTTGTGTACAAGGTAGAGAACACATGTCATTCATCACACACACACACACACATGGGGATCTCACAGAGGATCACTGTATCCACGTACAGCAGTACAGTACAATCTGTCCATTACTTTGTGTTAGTTGTGTACAAGGTAGAGAACACATGTCATTCATCACACACACACATGGGAATCTCACAGAGGTTCACTGTATCTACGTACAGCAGTACAGTACAATCTGTCCATTACTTTGTGTTAGTTGTGTACAAGGTAGAGAACACATGTCATTCATCACACACACACATGGGGATCTCACAGAGGTTCACTGTATCCACGTACAGCAGTACAGTACAATCTATCCATTACTTTGTGTTAGTTGTGTGCAAGGTAGAGAACACATGTCATTCATCACAAACACACACACACACACACACATGGGGATCTCACAGAGGTTCACTGTATCCACGTACAGCAGTACAGCACAATCTGTCCATTACTTTGTGTTAGTTGTGTACAAGGTAGAGAATACATGTCATTCATCACACACACACATGGGGATCTCACAGAGGTTCACTGTATCCACGTACAGCAGTACAGTACAATCTATCCATTACTTTGTGTTAGTTGTGTGCAAGGTAGAGAACACATGTCATTCATCACAAACACACACACACACACACACATGGGGATCTCACAGAGGTTCACTGTATCCACGTACAGCAGTACAGTACAATCTGTCCATTACTTTGTGTTAGTTGTGTACAAGGTAGAGAACACATGTCATTCATCACACACACACACACACACATGGGGATCTCACAGAGGTTCACTGTATCCACGTACAGCAGTACAGTACAATCTGTCCATTACTTTGTGTTAGTTGTGTACAAGGTAGAGAACACATGTCATTTATCACACACACACACACATGGGAATCTCACAGAGGTTCACTGTATCCATGTACAGCAGTACAGTACAATCTGTCCATTACTTTGTGTTAGTTGTGTACAAGGTAGAGAACACACGTCATTCATCACACACACACATGGGGATCTCACAGAGGTTCACTGTATCCACGTACAGCAGAACAGTACAATCTGTCCATTACTTTGTGTTAGTTGTGTACAAGGTAGAGAACACAAGTCATTCATCACACACACACATGGGAATCTCACAGAGGTTCACTGTATCCACATACAGCAGTACAGTACAATCTGTCCATTACTTTGTGTTAGTTGTGTACAAGGTAGAGAACACATGTCATTCATCACACACACACACACACATGGGGATCTCACAGAGGTTCACTGTATCCACGTACAGCAGTACAGTACAATCTGTCCATTACTTTGTGTTAGTTGTGTACAAGGTAGAGAACACATGTCATTCATCACACACACACATGGGGATCTCACAGAGGTTCACTGTATCCACGTACAGCAGTACAGTACAATCTGTCCATTACTTTGTGTTAGTTGTGTACAAGGTAGAGAACACATGTCATTCATCACACACACACATGGGAATCTCACAGAGGTTCACTGTATCCACATACAGCAGTACAGTACAATCTGTCCATTACTTTGTGTTAGTTGTGTACAAGGTAGAGAACACATGTCATTCATCACACACACACATGGGAATCTCACAGAGGTTCACTGTATCCACGTACAGCAGTACAGTACAATCTGTCCATTACTTTGTGTGAGTTGTGTACAAGGTAGAGAACACATGTCATTCATCACACACACACACACACATGGGGATCTCACAGAGGTTCACTGTATCCACGTACAGCAGTACAGTACAATCTGTCCATTACTTTGTGTTAGTTGTGTACAAGGTAGAGAACACATGTCATTCATCACACACACACATGGGGATCTCACAGAGGTTCACTGTATCCACGTACAGCAGTACAGCACAATCTGTCCATTACTTTGTGTTAGTTGTGTACAAGGTAGAGAACACATGTCATTCATCACACACACACATGGGGATCTCACAGAGGTTCACTGTATCCACGTACAGCAGTACAGTACAATCTATCCATTACTTTGTGTTAGTTGTGTACAAGGTAGAGAACACATGTCATTCATCACACCCACACACACACATGGGGATCTCACAGAGGTTCACTGTATCCATGTACAGCAGTACAGTACAATCTGTCCATTACTTTGTGTTAGTTGTGTACAAGGTAGAGAATACATGTCATTCATCACACACACACATGGGGATCTCACAGAGGTTCACTGTATCCACGTACAGCAGAACAGTACAATCTGTCCATTACTTTGTGTTAGTTGTGTACAAGGTAGAGAATACATGTCATTCATCACACACACACATGGGGATCTCACAGAGGTTCACTGTATCCACGTACAGCAGTACAGTACAATCTGTCCATTACTTTGTGTTAGTTGTGTACAAGGTAGAGAACACATGTCATTCATCACACACACACACACACATGGGGATCTCACAGAGGTTCACTGTATCCACGTACAGCAGTACAGTACAATCTGTCCATTACTTTGTGTTAGTTGTGTACAAGGTAGAGAACACATGTCATTCATCACACACACACACAC